CACACACACACACACACACACACACACACACACACACACACACACACCATACACGATTAACAACAATTTACTATTTTACACAAATGAACCCTTGCCTGCGCTGCACATCTGGGAAGGTGCTTGCAAGAAGAAGGGAGAGCCCAAGTGCCTGCCAAGCGCAGACAGTGCTCTTCAGTCGTGGACTTCGGGGAAGGTAGGCGGTGTCTTTTGCGGGGAGACTTCGGGGGTGCACTGCAAGGTCGGGTTGCTCTTCATATGATCCAGGACAAACGCTTGCGCCTCCATTTCTCTTTTGTGTCTGAAGTACAGGTCAGTAGCTCTCCTCTCTCCCTCTTCCCTCTTCTCTGTTTTGCTTTTATGAATGAGGAAGTACATCTGAAAAAAACACAGCAGAGTGCTGAAGGCTGATAAAGACAGTTCCTCTCCAGTTTAATCTTCTGTTTGCCTAGTGTCCTGGCTGGTTGTGTTGTGATGGTAAATAAAGGCCTGCCCTCTCCAGCTCTGTGCCAGGCTCCTGGGCTGTGGCATAACTGGCTTTCTAAAGGGACTCTCCAGATGCTGAGGAGCCAGGCGTGTCACACACACAGTCAGGAGCACTGACAGGGCAGGAATGATCGAATCAGAGGGGGGCTGAGAGACGCTGGGCGTCCCGAGTTCAGGGGGGGAGAGAGAGAGAGAGAGAGAGAGAGAGAGAGAGAGAGAGAGGAGACATAGCAGGCAGGCAGGTGGAAGCTGGACTTGGGTGGTTTGATTTTCTTGTAAAATGAGCTTTCCCTGTCAGGAGAGATGAGGAGATCTGGAAAGGCTAGGCCTCTCAGCCCAGGCCTCACACCTGGAAAGACCCAAATGGGCCAAGCCCTAGTCTGTGTGTGGAGGCGCTGGGCTGAGAATCTCTCGGCTGGCTCCCCCAGTGCTGGGAAGACGCTGGATTTAGTGAGAACACTCGTAAGCTGCTCTGCGAGGTACGTCATGTGACCTAACTCTTGATTTCCCTCATGGAGTAGTCTCTGAGGTACTTTCCTGTCCCACCCAGGACAGCAGCCTCATTCAACACCCAGTCTTCATTTCCATGGGCCCAAACCTCAAGATCCACGCCAGCTGATGCTTTATCCAAAGTGCTCAGGACCGGAAGTGTTTTGGGTTCTTTTGGCATATGGAATACTTCTATCGATACAGTAGTGTGAGGATGGGGTCTGGGCATGACGTTCACTTACCTTTTCCCCACAGCCTGTGTCTTTTTGATACTGTGTTAAATACTGTGCATGAAGGAGTTTGCAGCTACGGCGGATGTGGGATTTTACGATTTAGACGTGGGGCCTTTCAGATGAGGGGTGCTAATGTGTGCGTTTCCAAGATCTTTGGGTGCATTTGCACTCTCCTTGTTACTGCAAGTAACAAGTAACGAGGAGAGAGAGGAAACTCACTTCTGAGCAAGGCACACCTGCTTTGGGATGAGTGTCAGTGACGTCCTGGAGACCCTCCCCCTCCACTGGCTCTGGTGACCACCAAACTTCAGCAGCCGCACATTCTTTGGGCTCAGTCTTGTCCTGTTTTGGAAATGTGACTAAACTTTTCCGGCCAGGGACTGTACCTGGGTCTCAGTGCCCTTAGCTGAGCATCAGCCCTCACCAGAGGCTGGACACAACCTCCATGTGAGGTACAGACCAGTAGAAGGCTCCCTGAGAGGAAGCAGATGGCTGACACGACTATGCCTTAGTTAACAGTGTTGCCTAATGCTTGGGTAATATAGCGAGCATCCTAATTGCCGCTTAAAGACATTAACTGACAGATTGCGTATAATCCCATGCTGTGTGTGTGTGTGTGTGTGTGAGAGTGTGTGAGTGTGTGAGTGCAATAACACACACTGTACTTGAGGGCCACTGCTGTAAAGGTCACGAAGTGTCCATCTCAGGACATGTGTCTTCTTAGGCTGCTCCTGGTTGGCCCGAGCTCTGCTGCTCCCAAGTGGCAGCATTCTTGTCTGGCCAATGGGCCTCCCAGCTGGCCCTGCTCCCGTGGCTCCAGGACTTCGAGGTGTGGGTGGCAGTGAGTCGGCTGTCTGGGGCATGTCCTCTGCTGGGATAGCTGTGCAATCGCCAGTGTCTCTGTCACCGAGCGGGTGTAGTCAAGGCACAGCCTGGGCCCCGCTCAGCCAGCTGTCCTGTCTGTGGGATTGGTGCCCGGAGCTGCCAGGCGGCAGGGCAGACGCTGGTGTCGGTGGAAAGGGCCTGCTGTGCAGCAGACTGACCCGCCATGGGTGAAATACACACAAGCCCATGTATGCCAGGGGCTGGGAAGGTGGCTCCTGTTGGAGAAGGTCCTCCTCCTTCCTGACGTCTGTCTGTCTGAATCCAGGTGCAACGCTGGAGGAGATCAACCAGCACTGGGACTGGCTGGAACAGAACCTGCTGCACACCCTGTCAGTCTTTGACAACAAAGACGACATCGCCAGCTTCGTCAAGGGGAAGGTGAAGGTAGGCCCCGGCTCGAGGCTCTCCACACCTGCTAGCTCCCCTCACGGAGCCCTGAGCTCCGGGCTGCCCGGCCTTCCACGCTCGCTTTGGGGAGTCGGATTGGCGGTAGAGCTGCCCTGTCCCTCCCGCTGCTCATGGAACCCAGGCTTTTGTTCTTGGGAGAGGCCTCTAGCAGCCCCTTCCTGGCCCGGGAGGCTGCCCTTGCACGGACGGATGTAATTGCAAAGTTTAGCTGGAAAAGCAGTTGAGGAAGGCATCTCGGCAGCACCCCTGCCTCCACGAGCACAGGACAGCACGCCCGTGCTCACGGGTGTGTAACACGGAAAGTGCCTGCACTTGCTTGTAGTCTCTGGGTAGAAGGGGGCACACACTGTACTCTCAGCGCTGGAGAGGCTGAGGCAGGAGAGCCACGAGCGAGAGCCTAGCGTGGGCCACAGAGGGAGTCACACGCTTGCCCGGGGTAAGGAGCCGGTGTCTCCAAGACAACGAAACAGACTAGTCTATCCCGGAGGCGGGCCGGGGACGGAGGAGTGAGGACAAGTGCACGTTTGTCCTTCCTGCTGACAATCTCAAGGATGCTTTCCTATCCAGCCTGGGCCTTTGGCTGTTTGCACAACCACCGGATTTCTTCTTCAGCTGTGCCTGGGCACAGGGTTAGGGCACCTGGGAGTCCAGAGACCGTGTGGCCCTGTGGCCCCTGTTCATGCCCTACTAAAAGCCCAAATAGTCCCCAAATTCTCAGTCGTTATCTTATGATTCGTAATGGCAAATGAGATTTGTAAAATAAAAACACGATGAATTGGAAATCATCGAAATTGAAAATCACTTAATTTGTTAAGCTTTTAAATTGTATGTGTGCGTACACGCGCACCCGTGTGTGATACACACATGTGAGCGTGGGAGTGCTCCCCTGTGCGGGGCTTGTGAAGGCAGGGGATTGCCGCCATGTCTTCCTCCACTGCGTCTCCAATTTAACTTTTAGGAGTGACGCATCTTTTTAACGTTTACGTTTGTGTGTGTTGGGGGTGCGCGCAGGCCCGGTGCACACGCGCAGTCGGAGAACGGCTTGAGGGAGTTATTCTCCCTGCCATGTGGGTCCCAGGAATTGAACTCAGGTTTTGAGGCTCGGTGGCAGTCGGCACCGCTGCCTTTCCCCCACCGTCTTGCCAGCATCTCCTAGGAAGCCTGGAGCTTGTTTTGACCACACTGGCAGCCATCGAGCTCCTGGGGACCCGCCTGCCACGCCTGCCTCCTACGTGGCGGCTGGGGATCCAGACTGAGGTGTGCGCGCTCACACAGCAAACATTTTCACCAACTGACCTTTCTCTTCCGTCCGTCCTTCAGAGTAATAAAAATAAAATAAATAAATAAGTTAGGTCTAATTTCTAAGATAAATTGTGCAGTGAAAGGATCTGGTAGCAACCCTGAAAAGTTGCCTTGTCTTAAGAAACATGGATGTTCGTGGACATTGATGTATAGATCAAATGGGTGGAAAGTTAATTTGTATACGTAGATTCTTTTTCAAAGTCGGTTAGTTAGATGAAGCCCAGGGGGCCTTCGCAGTTGCTTCCCTGGAAATATCAGGAAGACAAATGTTTCGTTTCTTTATTTGAGATAGGGTTTCACGGTTTCGCTCTGCTGGCCTATTGCTTGCCGTGTGGCCCAGGCTGCCCTTACGTGAGAACTACCCTGCCTCTTCCTCCTGAGTGCTAGGAGTAAGGGGTGTGGCGAGTGCCACCACACTGGCTTTTAAAGTACTTCCTTCTTTATTCTTTGTTTATTGTATACGACGAGTCTTGTGTGTGCACCTCGGTTTACTGTGCGTGTGCCTGCTGACCGCAGAGGCCAGACTGGGGCACTGGATCCCTTGGGACTGATGTTACAGATGCTTATGAGCTGCCACGCAGATGCTGAGAGGTAGAGCAGCCAGTGTGGTTAACCACTGAGCCATCTTTCCAGCTCAAGGAAGGGGCCCAGGTCAATCCTGGATCACACGAGTACACTCAGGTTCTGTGTGCTATTCGTGCTCGCACCCAGAGGCTGTGGGGTTCCTTGGGGCCTCGGGGCAGCTTGACTTATTTCTGCTCTACCTCAGCAGAATGCACAGACATGTTGAAATGCATTGGCTGCTGGGTTAAGAACATTTTCCAAATCACGTTAAAACGATGGCACCACACTTGTTTGTGTGCGCGTGCGCACATACCACAGCTTTAGAGTCTGCCCTCTGCTTCTGCCAGGTGGGCTCGGCGGTCACACCCCGGTCCTCGGGCCTGGCTGCAAGCACCTCACTCACCGAGCCGCCTTGATGGCCCCAGATCAGCATTTCCATGTTTAACTCAAAAGTTCAAGGACGAGATTTGGTTCTTTCCTCCTTTGGGTCATTTGTCTCGGTTGCTGCAGCAAACATCCGTTGCCCGCCCATTCTTTCCACTATCTGTCCTCTTGTCCCTCTGTCTCACCAATGCCTGGCTGGCCAGGTAACTGTGTTCTTTCCATGCCCAGGCCCTGATTGCCGAGGAAACCAGCAGCAGGCTGGCGGAGCAGGAGGAGGAGCCCGAGAAGTTCCGGGAAGCCCTGGTGAAGTTCGAGGCCAGGTTCAGCTTCCCTGAGGCAGAGAAGTTGGTCACCTTCTACTCTTGCTGCTGCTGGAAGGGCCGGGTGCCGCGCCAGGGCTGGCTCTACCTCAGCATCAACCACCTCTGCTTCTACTCCTTCTTCCTTGGCAAGGAGCGTAAGTGTGGCCAGCCAGGTGGTCCTGAGTGCACACAGCCCGTCCGATCCATAGCCTCGCTCTTGAGAGAGTGTTTCCACAGCGTGCATGATCCAATATTTCCCATGATTCTTGCACTTAGTTGTGCTTAATTATGCAGGCTTCCCCTACAGGGGGCTTGATGTAGGGAGGGCTTGTTCCGTTTATTCCCTTAAACATTTCCATGTAACTCGAGTAGCTACTGCCAAGTTTTTAGGACTGTAGGTGCTTTGGAAATGCAGAATCTTAGCTGATGACCGAAGAGATCTGCAAGAGAATCTATTCTCCCCAAGGTTATATTTTATATTTTATATTGTGTGTTGTATCTGTGGGTATTTAGCTCGAATGCATCTGTGAACCAAGTGTGCTTGGTGCCCACAGAGGCTAGAAGAAAGGGTCAGATTCTCTGGTGCTGGGAACTGAACCTGGTCTCCTGGAAGAGCAGCCAGTGCTCTTAACATCTGAGACAACTCTCCAGCCCTGAATATGTTCCTGTGTGCACGTGTGTGCATATGTGTGTGGGGGGTGAGAGCAGCTGAGCGCTGGCATCTGTCTCCATCTGCTTCCTGACTGAGGATGGCTGTGAGCTGCTGCTTTAAACGCCTGCTGCCATCCCTTCCCTCCCACCGTGGGCCATTCCCTGGAACTGTGAGCCCGCATCAACGCTTCCTTTCTTGGCCGCTCTTGTCAGGGAATTCCACCGCAGCAGTAGGTAAAGCGACAAACGCGATGGATAGTGTCTTTTCCTTTTCTGAGCGTGTGTTTGGGGAGCCAGCCCAAGGTCCCCCCTTGAGCATCTTTGGGGAGCTTCCAGTACGTGGTGTGCCGCTGTCCACGTGGCTGCGTCACCGCGGTGCTCCGGGACCCTTTGCACGCCGTTCCCCACCACACCTCCCTTTGCACACTGTTGACTCCTTTGCAGCGCACACTAGCCCCGGCTATGGGAGGCCTTACTCCTTGAAGACCCTGCCCTTCCCTGTGCGAATACCCTACGTGTCAAGGCCTGCTCTTCCTGCCAACCCCACTGTGGTTGTGTCCCCCCAGGAAGCCTGCCCTCCACATAATTTGCGCATGTTTTTTGTGCGGGCCCCCCAGATCTGCTTGCTTACCTGTTTGCCTGTCTCGCTTAACTTGAGCAAGCAGATTACAGGACATGCAGTGATTTTTATCACCGGGTAAAATGCCTGACAGAAGCAGGGATGGGGATTAAGCTGGTTCACCCTCTGAGGCTGCACACGCACACAGAACATGTGGGCACTGGAGTGTGTCGGGGAGTGTCCTGTTTTACTGTAGACCGGAAGGGGTTGGGAACAGATGCTCCCAAAGACCCACCTTCCCACATAGCAGCGTTGGCACGGGACCAAGGCCCCCCCATACGTGAGCCTTTGGAGGAACGTGTCATTCCCAAACTGTTCCCCTGCAAAGCACTCTAGCGGCCTCTTCATGGACAGCTGCTTAATGAACTGGAGTTGGTGGTTTAAACAGACCAAGGTGTGTGTGTGTGTGTGTGTGTGTGTGTGTGTGTATGTGTAAGACACTGTGTGTGAAATCACAGAAGCAGCTAAGAAACTTCTGGTCAAGGTTGGCACAAATGGTGCCTTTTAAAGTGATCCGAGCCCTGAAAACAGTATCGCAAAGCAAACAGACAGAAACGGTGCAAATGCGTGTTAGCTGCTTGGTTCAGAGAGGACTCCTTTTTCTGATATTTATTCATGCTTGCATGGCTGGGTAAGGATTCTTGAGACAGTCTTTGCACAGCTAATTTGGCATCCCAGAATAGTGTCCCCTGGATGTGTGTGGTAGCTGGGAGTGGGCAGCCAGCTACGTGGGAATTTTCACACAAGTCCGTAAGAAACCACCAGGTGAGGCTGTGTGTTCCCAGCAGCCACACACGGCCCCACGCTGCTCCCATGCCCTGGCTCAAGAGAAGTTTGTAGTTTTCGACAAAGGAGAGGGAGCCTTGACCAGCTGCCGCTTGCTTCAAGCTGGCTGCCGTTTGACGGCAGACCCGCTCGCGCCCTTCTCTCCCACAGTTAAACTTGTAATCCCCTGGGTGGACGTCCAGAAGCTGGAGCGGACGTCCAACGTCTTCCTTACGGACACCATCCGGGTCACCACTCAGAACAAGGAGCGTGACTTCTCCACCTTCCTGAACCTGGATGAGGTGTTTAAGATCATGGAGCAGCTGGCCGACGTGACGCTCCGGAGGCTGCTGGACAATGAGGTCTTCGACCTGGACCCCGACCTGCAGGAGCCTAGCCAGATCACCAAGAGGTGGGGCTTCACTCCCTCTGCCCCTCAGCGGCTCGGGGGACCTGGCTCCTGCTCGCCCTCCTCGTGCTTCTGTAGCAAAGCTGCACGGCTCACCCTCCGTGTGCTTTTGATAGCTAACGTGGCTTTTCACCAATTGCCTCAGTCATTGGTTCCAGGCCCTCTATGGCCATCTAACCCACAGCTGTGCAAGGCCCCGCTGTAAAACACGAGTCTTTGCGTGCAGCCGGCTGGGAGGCCTGATGCTGTGCAGTATCTAGAGGGTGTGTCACACCTGACACAGCATCAGGCCGTGCGAATAATTGTCACGCTGCGCTGTTCAGGGAAGAGCACTCGGGAAGCATGTGCACATCTGGTGCCAGGGGGGTTTCTTTGAATATTTGATTGAAGGGTGGCGGAGGCCAAGGACTCCGAACCTAAGAACGCCAGGTGTACGGTTCCACGGTGGTGCCCCTCACATTTGCCTCTGTGGTTCATCTTTCATTTCCTTATGACATTTTCATTTTGTGTTGGAGCGTGTGGGCCGTCACACGCTCACTGCTAGAGTGTGGAGGTCAGAGTTCAACTTGAGGGAGTCAGTTTTCTCCTCCATCATGTGGGTCTGTGGGTCAGGCTTCAGTACATGACGTGGCACCCTCGTGGTGGAGATTGGTTGTTGACTTTATCAGTGAGCAGGAAGACAGTTTGCTTTTTAATGGTGCTGGACCTTAGCCCCAGGGTTGATGCTGGCTAGGGATGTGCTCTGCCACTGAGCTGCACCCTGGACCTCGCTGCTGGGACTGTGAGCCTCTGGGGGAAGGCAGGATGGCTGGGTGGTGCTGGTTCCTTTGCTGTGGAGCCAGTGGTCTCTGGGCACATTTGGCTGTCACGGCAAGCTCTGTGAGGCTATTGTCTGGTTTGTCACTCTAAACAAACTCAGCGTTGCTTTCTAAAGCTCAGAAAGCTGCGTTCAAGCCCGATGGGTTTTGAGTTTTGTGGGTCACGGCTGGGTAAGTGTGGCCTTTGAGAAACAGGAGCTCACGACATACTGTATGGTCAGGAGTTCAAATCCCTTCTCATAGGGCATCACATGTAAGTGTGCGCACAGTTTGTGGCTCTAAGTACACTCGTATCCCATCCCATTGCCGCCACCACCACCCACCTGCAGAATCGCTCTGTGTGCCAGAACAAGTTCATCCCTGCCGAAGGGGAACTGCCAGGCTGCCACCTTCCCCGTCTCTGAAGCTGGCCAGGCCCCTTAGTAAGGTCAGTATCTATTTCTTTCTTCAGAGACTTGAAATTTTTTCATACAAGTCTTTGAGTTGCTTGGTTAGGGTCACTCCAAGGTACTTTATGTCCTTTGTGGCTATTGTGAATGGTGTTGTTTCCCTAATTTCTTTCTCAGCCCTTTGTCTTTTGTATACAGGAGAGCTACTGATTTATTTTTTTTAAGTTAATTTTGTATCTGGCCACTTTGCTGAAGGTTCTGTTTTTGAGATGAAGGTTTTAGCCCAGGCTGGACTTGAATTCCTAGTCCTTCTACCTCAACCTATACAAAAATTTGAGATACTTTGTGTTCCAGTCATTTTACACAGGGAATTCTTGGTCTTTATCAAATTCCTTCAAAACTCCACAGCCTACTGTTGGGCGATACAGAGTCTTTAAGGGAAATGAAGATGCATTATTTCCCACACCTGGGATTTGCCTCACACATGGTAGTGTGCTCACCATCCCCTCTTCTTCTTTTAATTATTTATTTAGATTTTACGTGCATTGGTGTTTTGCCTGCCTGTGTCTGTGGGAGGGTGTCAGATCCCCTGAACTAGAGTCACAGACAGTTGAAAACTGCCGCATGGGTGCTAGGAATTGAACCTGGGTCCTCTGGGTGCTCTTAACCCCTGAACCATTCCTCCAGTCCCCCACCCCATCCCTTCTTGCTGTGTGTATTCATCTTAAACTGAACCTAACTGCTCTTGGGGGTGAAATTTCAAGAGACTTCACATGGTCATAGTTAGCTCTGATAATGGGAGAGTTTCCTCGTGAGACAGGCTGTACCCCTTTTTTGTGATGGACCCCCCCAGAGCGCTGCTCTTAGGTTTTCTGATGCCCAGCCCGGGTGTTTGCACAGCTCCCCTCCCCCAAGTCTTTACAGCCGCGGGAGGAGATTCAGTTTGAAAAGAAGCAGCCTGGTGCACTGGGAAGGCCAAGCAGTTTGCTGTTGGGGTTGTTTAGTTTCGCTTATAATCTCTTAAAAATGGAAGGGCCATGCCGCCAGAGCCCTGGAAACAAAGCAAACCATGGCTTGGTCGTGTGGCTCAAGAGAGTTCCTGCAGGTCCCAGGTCATTTTGCCCTCGTCTGTCTGTGCGCAGGTGCCTGCGAGCCTGAGTTGTAGCCACCATGCCTTTGGCACAGGAGCCCAGCTTGGGGCTGCACATGTGCCCGCCTTCCAGGGTGGGCACGATTGCTGTCGAGTGGACAGAAAGGAGAGTCTCCTAGCCTGTGGGGATTATCTTGAGGTAAGCTAAGGTGGGAAGGCTCCGGATGTCACTGTTCCCTGGCCGGGGTCCTGGACTGTGTAAGGTGGAGAGAGCGAGCTGGTTTAGGGCAGCATCAGTGCCGGCAGTGTGTGCTCAGGTCCAGGATTCAGGGAGAGCCCCCCTCCCCCGTCCTCCTGCTCGCTCTACCCTGGGTACCACTAGAGAGACAAGGGAAGAAAGGACTGCACGGCCGGCAGTTGAGTGTCTGAGGCCACATCTGTGCCTGGGGCTGGACCCGCCACTGAGGCAGGATTCTGGGCCCCCTGCATCCCCACCTGTCCCTTACCTGGGAAGGGACTTTCTCTCAGAGTGGCCTGCCCTTAGGGTGGTTCCCATCAGTGGCTTTTGTCATGGAGACGGCCTATGGGTGTAAACAGGTAATGACTCAGCCTCTTGGCAACCTGCCTGGAGGCAGATTTTGAGGTTTAGGAAAACAGTCTCCCCAGCTCTGAGCCAGAGAAGCTGGAATGCCCCTCCAGCTCTTTCCTTGATCCATTTTTTACTTCCCTTCCCAGAGGACCGCTTTCCAGTGGTGACCGTTAGGGTCAAAGGCAGAGGTTACTAAGTTTCTGTTTACCTGTTAGTCACCTCAGTCCTGAGGTCATTCCACTGGGATTTTTGTCAGCTCCAGTACAAGGGGGGAGGGGATGGTGCTTTGCCATCCTCCCAACCACCTATCCGATGGAGGAGAGAAGCGAGCTCTGTCTGGGCTCAGGACACTGGCCGAGACGTGCAGTGTAGAGGACCTGGACTAGAGATCCTCAGGATATCATCTTTGAGCTCAGGATGCTGCCTGGGCAGCAGGAGAGCAGGGAATAAGCTGATCCTGAAATTCCCAAACAAATGTTTACCCCAACATTAGGGTGTGGTCAGATATCAGCCATTTTGTACAGAGGGCAGGGCAGGCGTGTGTGGAAAGGCAATGAGTGCTGAGCCTCTTCTGGTGTGCTGGGGTACAGTTAGGTTTCGAGTGGGGGCTACTTCCCTCCATGTGTGCCTTCAGTGGTGTCTGTGTATAGACTCTGGCTTTACCCGATGACCCAGTCCTTCCCTGCTCTTCTCCCTTCGCCTCCATCAGATCCGAGCAAGCCCTATGCTGGGAACAGGAGGACAGATGGGGAAGTGTTAATCCCACTGGGTGAGAGTCAGACCACTACCACAAGTTCTGAGCCAAATTCCAAGTGAACTTTTTAAAACGCTGGCCAGGACCATGATGTCGGCCAGGCCCACAGCTGGGGTTCCTAGAGAATGTCCCCAGAGTACAGCAGTCAGGGGCTTATCAAGGCGAAGCCCGTGAGGCCACATACTCCCCACCCTCGTGCACTCAGGGGCAGGCACACTTCCTGACGTACGAACTTCCTGCCTACGTCCCTCTCGCCTCTGTGTGACCAAACACGCATCCTGTGCAGCTGGTGCAGCCATGCTTGTGTACAGAAGTGAAAACACGTGGCTTATCCCACAGGCGCAGCCCCAGCATCCCGGGAGTCACCTGCCCTTGGGGAAGTGGGGTTTACAGGTTAGAACGGTGGTTCTCGGCCGTCCTAGTGCGGCGACCCTTTGATGCAGTCCTCATGTTGAAGTGACCCCAAACCACACAGTTCTTTTCATTGCTGTGTCATAGCTGTGATTTTGCTACGGTTGTGAATAGTAATGTGAATATCTGTGTTTTTCAGTGCTCTTGGGCATCTCCTGTGAAAGGATTCTTTGGCTCCCGAGGGGCTCGCTACCCACAGGTTGAGAACCACGGGGCTGAAGGCATTTTTGTTTTATTGATCTCTTAAGCACGGTAATTTATACCTAAAACTTGGTGTTAGCCATCACAAAAGAGGCATCTTTCAGGGGAAGACCTGCTCCTCAATTCTCCAGCCCCATCCACCCTGGGCTTCTCCGGTATTGTCTGCTGGTCAGCTCAGGGGTTTCTCGTGGGGCAGTGTGGCCAGGTCCTGCTGTCTTGGGGGCCAGGGTGGATGATTTCCAAAGGCCCCAAGAAGCCACTTCTGCTAAACCACGCTGATTTCCCTGGACCACAGGTGACTAAACGCAGGAGGAAAGCCTGACCTGTGCCTTCCCTCTGCACTTCAGGTGTAGGCATGAGGACTCGGTGATGGTTCTGACCATGAGCTCTAGGGACAAGGCAGTGAGCAGCCAGTGAGGCCATGCCTACCTGTGCCAGGCCTCCCTCCAGAAGCTCATGTTAATACCCTAAAGATGGACTTGGATCACTGTACCCCTTTATCTGTTCCTCTTCTCAGTGTGGCCACATTGAATAATCTTCCCCTGCTTCTCCCCATCAGTAGTTTCTTAAGTTGGCATGGTGGAGTGGGAGGCTGAACTTAGCTTTTTGGACCCTGGGAGCCCATGCCCTGTTCCTGACAGTTCTGGTTGTCTTGAGTGCAACACTCTTACGTGTGGACTGGGGGCACTGAGGAAAGGCAGTATCTGCCCTCGCAGCCCTGATTCTATGCTGCTCAGTCTTGGCGTTTCCCAAAGACACAGAGGTCTTAAGTGGCTGCGTGAGGCTGAGGTGAGGAGACAGCAGTGGACCCACGCTAGCCTTTCTGAGCCCAGATGGCTGGAGTCATGGTCAGTCAGGTGGCCTACAGTAGACATGGCTAACGACCCCCAGGGAAGAAGCCAGGCTGGCCTAGCCTGTCCCTCAGCTGAGCCGGTGGCAGATGCAGTTAGGAATGTCTCCCGTGAGAGTCTGTCAGCCCCACGGAGTTCTTCCGTAAAGTGCTCTAGAAGGTTGGTGGAGAAGAGAGAGGGGACAGATCTGGCTCGTCTGGACTGAACAAATCCCGGGTTTGTGGCGAAAGTAATGAACTCTTTACCTTTAAGCTCTGGGGACTGCTTAAGTTTCTAAGTTTAATAAAGGTGTGCGTGGAGTCTTGTTTGGAACCCCATGGTGTGAGAGTCCTGCAGCGGGGGCAGCGTCCATGCTCACGGATGGTCCGTGGGCCTCTGGCCTGAGCTCTGTTGTGCCTCTCGGCGGCCCTCATACGGAGCTGGCCCCTTATTACTCAGGCCCCTGCTGTCTTCCCTGTGCTGGGATAATGAACGGCGTTTGTGAGCTGAACGTGGCCACGCTCAGGCTGCAGTCTCCGTGTCTGGCCCCGCACTGAGCACGTTTAAGCTTCGTCCACGCTGCTGTGTGTATCCGCCCCTTCCTCCTGACTGTGGCTGAGTAGCCGCTATCCAACTAAAGGGACGTGCCACCTTTTATTTAGCTGTTTACCAGTCGATGGATGTTTGGGTCACCTTCTGGTTGGTGTCGCTGTTGGCATTGGCACGTGAGTTGTCAGCAGGCGTGCGTGTCTCTTGTTTGTGTATGCCCAGGAGTAGAGTTTCTGGGTAAATGGTGAGTCTCCTTTAAGCAGGAGGCTGGCTTCGCACACATTGTTTTTACGGAAAGCCTGTCTGTGTGCAGGCCGGGCCGGGCCGGCGGGCGTCGAGGTATTTTTCTTTGTGCGCTCCGGTTCACTCACCGTCTCCCCGTCACTCCCCAGGGACCTGGAGGCCCGCGCACAGAACGAGTTCTTCCGGGCGTTCTTCCGGCTGCCGAGGAAGGAGAGGCTGCACGCGGTGGCGGAGTGCTCCCTCTGGACACCCTTCAGTCGCCGCCACACGGCGGGCCGCATGTTTTCCTCCGACAGCTACATCTGCTTTGCCAGCAGAGAGGACGGCTGCTGCAACGTGGTGCTCCCCCTGAGAGAGGTAGGCCCCTCGCCTCGCCCAGGCTGCTCTTCTTTGCCCTCCGGGGCACCCTCTGCCCTTTAGACCCGAGGGTTTGTGTCTATCTTACCTTGCTCAAATGAGACACTCACGGCTGCATAAACTTAAGAGCAGAAGTTTAGCTCACAAGAGAGAATGGTGCTGTTTGGGCTTGGGTCTGGTCAAGACCTTATCAGAAATGGAGACGCCATGGTCAGAGACACCACAAGGTGAGACAGAGGGCAAAGGCCAGTCCTGTTGCTGTTTGCAGTGACCTACTCTGTGATGACCAGTTGAGGTCTGTGTTACCCCTTTCTGAGGGCCACGCTCCCTATGGCCCAAATACACCAGCTAGGCCGCACTGCTTAATTACCCCTCCTCCTCTTACCACTGCTTCCCGGGGACCACGCTTCTCACCGGTGATCCGATGGGGTTATGCGGAGACCAACCTCTAGTGCTGCTGCCGTGACAGGACACAGGAAGGATGGCCTAACAATGGCCCTCTAGCCTTCTAGGAGCAGGACCTGAGCTGCCCTGCCGGGGTGGCAGCCTGAAATTTGCCTAGAAGGGCTGAGTACAGAGACCGCCCCAACCTCCTCCTCACTGGTGAAACCACTGTTAGAGTGCAGGCTGGATGACTGAAGCTCTTCAAGAGCTCTTAGGCGTGACTTCTCCCCTCCCGCCTCCCCCCAAGAGAGACGCAACCTAGAAGTGTCACTCTCAGAAAACCAAGTGGCAAACTCCTTGGCTTTCAAATACTCCTAGAACTTTAGCTAAAAAATTTAAAACTTAAGAATGAGTCGGAGCCCCTCCTTACTGTAAGATTTTATAATTCTCTTGTTGGAGGTCAGAGTCAACCTGAGCTCATGTCCAGATGTGAACAGCTCAGTCCCTCGGTGTCAGGAAGCAGTCATGACACACCAAGACTCCAACACGCGGGACCTTTGGAGTCAGGCCGCTTGTGTTCATCCTGAGCATGAGTCTTCAGAGGCCCACATGCCAGAGATGTCTGCTGCCCATGTATACACACAGACATACACATACATGTGCATACGTGCTCATTTTACGGCCAGCTGAGAAAGCTGTGGTCCCAGGCCTCGGCAGGCATGGGCAGGCAGAATTCTATGAATTCAGGGCCAGCCTGGTCTACCCACCTTGAGTTCCTGGACAGCCAGGGCTACATGGTGAGACCCTGTCTTCAAAAGATTAAGAGAAACCCAGCAAATCTGTAACATCATTTATCCTCTTCACCTCTGTTAAGTGTGCATTTCTTGGGCACCAGCTGTGTTCACACGGCTACAAAGGCCTCCCCACCGTCATCCCCATCTTCCCAACTTGAACCTTTGTCGTACTGAGACACTAGTGTCCCTCTGCACCTCCCTCCCTTATGAATTTGAGGTAGCTTTAGTAAATGGAATCATGCAGTGTTTTTCCCTTTTGGTCTTGTTTTTAAGTGTGTGTGAATACGTGTGTGTGAGTGCACTTGCCTGCAGAAGCCAGAAGAGAGAGCAATGTCTTCCCTGGAGCCTGGAGTTAGGGGCAGCTATGAACCTACTGATTAGGCGCTCCAGGAACTGAAGTAGGTTCTCCTCGAGAGCAGTCTGTTTGCGCTGTTAACTGCTGAGCGTCGTCTCCAGCCCTGGAGTTTATCTGTTCTGAGTGGCTCATTCCAGGCAGCACAGCACCCGCGGGCTCGTCTGTGATTCAGATGTATTGGGTTTGCTTTTGGAGGCTGATGATTCTTGGTTATCTGTATAAACCGTTTGCTTGAGCCAGTCAACCTGTGGCCGGGACCCTGGGCTGCCGCCCCCTTGTGGCGCTGACGGGTAACGCTGCCCAGAGCTCTGCCCGTGGTGACTGGTTTTGCCTTCCACGGTGGGACGTGCCTGAGGGCGTGATGAGACACCTGCCTGGCCCCTGCACTGTACTGTGTGTGTCGTCTCTGCTCCAGGTGGTCAGCATTGAGAAGATGGAGGACACGAGCCTGCTGCCCAACCCCATCATCGTCAGCATCCGCAGCAAGATGGCCTTCCAGTTCATTGAGCTCAAGGACAGGGAGAACTTGGTGGAGGGCCTGCTGCTGAGACTGAAGCAGGTCCACGCCAACCACCCCGCCCGCTATGACGCCTCGCCGAGCGACGACATGGTAGGAGCCATGACAGGGCCGTGGTCTCTGAGGGGACGCCTGGGAAGACCGGCCATGTGGGCGTGAGGAAACTGCCCTGACACAGCTGGGCCGTGTGTCCCTGTGATGTCACCTCCGAGGCTCTGCTGCCTGGACCAGCTCGTGGGGGAGCCTGGACCGAGGAGGGTTGACTGGGTGCCCCCACATGCTGCCTGGGTTAGAGGAGGATTGGGGAACCCCAGCGGGAGCTTTCCATACACCGAGTTTTCAGGCTGGCAGGGCTGTATCTATGAAGAGAGATGGTGTGTCATCCTGCCATGGGAGAGATACAGGAAATGCCCTTGGGTTTGCTGGACACCATCGCTGTGGCTTCCATCAGGAAACTTCTTTTGAGCTTTACCTTTTCCTGCGTGTGTGATGTACATACGTATGCACGTAGGGGTGTGTGTGTGTGCGCGCGTGTGTGTGCCTGTGCGCCTGTGTGTGTGGTGGTACCCATCGTCCTGTCATTCCTCCACACGTTGACGCAGGCTCTCACTCAACTCCGGCGTGCACGGACACGGCTGCTCTCACCGAGCAGCTTGCCCGGGGGTCCTCTCTCTGCCTTCAGCTGCCACATGCACTTGGTGACAAACGTGGCTCCCAGAAAGCCTGGCTGCCATGCGTGTGTGGCGCGTGCTCCCAGCCCGCTTTCCTGTTCCGCTGACACGCGGTGCTGAGTGTGCGCTCTCTTTGCCTGGCAGACTTCACCTGTGTTCTACTCAACAAGCATATGCAGTGACAAGTTTGGGGACCTTGAAATGGCGTCTTCTCAGAGCAGCGAGGAGGGGGAGAAGGAGAAGAGCCCGCTGCCGCACCCCGAGCCCCTGACCGCTGGCTTCCAGCACTCCGACAGCCAGAGCCCCGACTCGCGCCTGGTGAGTGGGGTGCCGTGAGCAGCTCCTCCCTCGTCCCTCTCTCTGCCCTGGGCACCAAGTGAAGGACAGAGGGAGCCGGCTCTTCTCAGCGTGCAGTGAGTCTGTCTTTTGTGTGTGCCTTTTGTATGTGTTTTCTCTGCCCCTCACTGAACCTGAAGTTTGCATTTGGCCAGGCTGGCAGGGTCCTGGGACCCACCTGTCTCTGCCCTCCCTCGAAGCCCAACCCTGAAGGTACTGGGTTTTGACTTAGGTGCTGGGGATATGAACTCAAGCGCCCATGCTTGATCACAAGCACTCCTTATCCACTGTCCCATTTCCCCAGCCCCTATTTTTGCTTCCTTTTTAGCTATTCTTCTTTTGGTAGGGAAACCTTGGAGACAGAAGTCATGTGTAGTTGGCGGATAGCCTAGAAAGCGGACCTGGGCTGGCAGGCAGGAAGCCACACGGCAGGCCCAGGCAGTGGTCCCAGTGCTACTAACCAGCAGGCTGCTGCCTCCCACCAGAGCGCCTGGGTGAAACCGAACCCTCTCTGTCTCTCTAAACGCCGCATGTAGTCACTCCTTGCTGTCCGAATGAAGGAAAATGCTAGGCTATGGATATTTTACTCACGTTATTGGACAGATCTCATTATTACAATTCATGGCGAACACGCTATGGAAGGCCGCCAGCATTCCTGACGTGGGGATAGTTTTAAGGGACTTTTGGAGAAACGATGTCCCCTCAATCCTGATAGTGAGAGAGTGGGGTAGGAGAGGTGGCTCAGTGGTTAGAAGGCCTTTTTCCTCTTGCAGAGGCCTCAGGGTGGCTCACAGCTGTCCCTAACCCCAGTTCCAGGGGAGCCACCTTTCTTCTGACCTCTGCGGGCACCAGGCACGCACAGGCTCATGTACTCAGAACACGCTTATAAAATAAAATTTTTGAAAATAGTTGCCCCCCACCCCCTGTTGTTCCTCTGTCTGTCAAGCTCAGGGCACACTGGACGCCTTTTTCTCCTGTTCTTGGAGTCGAGTGGTTTTAGCAGTTGGCTCTGGGTCCGTGCCCCAGAGAGGCTTTACCCTGCATTCTCTCCCATCCAGTGCAGGCTGCTCTAGTACTTAGGTGCTTGTGTCCCTGCATTGTATTTGCAGACATCTCCACCAGGCCCCTTGGTGCTTTGTTAACTTGTCCTGCATCCTTTCTGCCTGGCGAGGCCCAGACATGTTTGCTGAGTGAATACTGTTATCGCTGCCCTTCCCGTTGGCCCTGGATAAACAGACATTCTTGGCACGCTAACGAACGTTTCCACTTTCAGTCCCGGGAACAGATAAAAATCAGCCTGTGGAACGACCACTTTGCAGAGTACGGCAGGACCGTGTGCATGTTCCGCACCGAGAAGATCCGGAAGCTGGTGGCCATGGGGATCCCTGAGTCGCTGCGTGGAAGGCTGTGGCTGCTTTTCTCAGGTGGGTTCTGGTGTGCTTAGGCTGTTGGTAATCTTCGGAACAGTCTCGGGATTGGCCTTCCTATAAGCATCACAGAAAGATGAAGGCCCTGCCGTGTGGACTCACGAGCCCCTGCAGTGTGGCGCCCCTGAGGTTGGCTGTAGTGCCTCCTCCGGAAATGTGGGGTCCAGGGCAGTAACTGCATTTCACCGTGGCTTCATGGGTTGGACATGGTGGCTGGTGCTTGTAATGTCATTGCTGAAGACAATGGTGTCGGGTTGCAAATTCCTAGTCAAGCTGCAAGACCTGCCTCACCCCTTCTCCACAAAAGGTGAAGTCAATAAAACTGTGAGGCACCCACATTAACAAGGTGTGGCAGCCTGAGCCTGCGATCCAGCATTTGGGAAGTAGAGGCAGGAGGATCGGAAATTAAAGGCAATCCTCGGATTCATAGTGAGTCTGACACAGTCTGGGGTACGGAAAAAAGACTACCTGGAAATGAAGTACCTTTGCTGGACGTGAGCCCCGATAGAGAGGAACCAAGAAAAGTGTATTTGCTGGCTGGCGCTCTGCGGTGTTGAACTGAATCCCTCTGTGTTGTTTAAATGGCCCTCCTCCACTGGAAATGTGGTACCCCAGTGAGATGTGGTTACAGATGTTGGCCTGTTTGCTTTTCAGACCATGTGAGTCATGAGTGATGGCCACGGCTAGCCTGAGCCAGGTGGCTGTCCTCCCCGCTGTGGCCACAGCAGGATGGCTGCCCTCCCCCTGTGGCCTCAGCTGGGTGGCTGTCCTCCCCCTGTGGCTGTAGTACAATGGCTGTCCTCTGCCCTCCCCCTGTGGGTGCTGGCTACTATCTTCAGAGTCTCACAAGAAGGCTTACTGAGGCCGGGGCTGAGATGTCAGTGACTTCAGAAGCTTCTGCTCAGGCCGGAAGCAGGAGCAGGGGCCTCCCCAGCCATCGGGGTGATTTGTCCTGCTAGGCAGAGGTGCCAAGGTGAGGCCCTGCCACCTGTGCTGTGACTGACCTCATCAGGTGTTGGGGTATATGGCTGGGAGCCTGGTGTGCTGTGTGCTAGCGAGGCTCCAGGAGGCTGTGCCCGGGCCATTCTGTCCCTGTCTGCCCTTCCCAAGTGTCTGTCTTAGTTACTGTTCTCCTTTGAAGAGACATGACCAAGGCAACTTATACAATAAATTTAATTGGCTTGCTTACAGTTTTAGAGGGTTAATCCATGGCCATCTCAGTGGGGACAGTGGCAGGTATGGTGCTAGAGAAGGAGCTCAGAGCTCTAGGCAGAGAGAGAGAGACAGAGAAACAAAGACAGAAAGACAGAGAGCTAGATACAGAGAAACAGAGACAGAGACCCACACAGAGAGAGACACATACAGACAAACAGAGAGAGGGAGGGACAGAAGGAGAAAGAGTGACAGAGAGACTCAGAGACAAATAGACAAGCTGCTGGGCCTGGTGCGGGCCTCACAAAGCCAACCCCAGTGACACGCCTTCTCTAACGTGACCACACCCTCTAATCCTTCCTAAGCAATCCACCATCTAGGGACCAAGTGTTCAAGTGTGTGAGCTGTTCTCGTCCAAACCACCACAGTGGGCCTGGAGCCTTTCCCAGCCTATCCCCACATTCACCCTTGCTGGTGACCCCGCCCCCATCGTCTTCTCCCTCCCCATGTGCAGCAGTTTGGCCCTGCCCATTCCTGTCCAGGCTTCCCACACACACAGCTCGGCTTTGGCCATGCTCCTTCAGGCTTCTACCACTGCCTGGCCCACGACAGTGCCGTCACCCACCCCACTGCTTCCCAGTGTGCTTCAGCAGCTCACACATACACACACACACACACACACACACACACACACACACACACGGAAATCTGCCTCAGAGACAATTCCGGAACAGCCAGGCCTACACAGAGAAGACCTGTCTTAGAAAATAAAACAAAAAGCAAGCAAGCAAACAGACAAAAAAACCCACCACCACCACCACCACCAACAACAACAACAAAAACCAAACCAGGACAGTCAGGACAGTGTTATTCACAGTGAGGAGTGAGCAAAGCAGAGAGGCTGCGCTGTGGCCCGGCCCTGGCACTGTGGGGCCCAGTCTTCTGGGTCCCCTAACTTGCTTTGCTGTTGTTTTCACGTGGGAAGCAGGGGTTTGTGAAGGATAGGAGGTTGCCGTGGCATTGGAGCAGCTATCCCCCCAGCACGTGTGAGCGCTGCTGAGGAGGTCAGAGCCGCTCACTGCAGGGGCACTGAGGCACGGGGCTGTTTTCACTAGACCTAGCTAGAATCTAAGACCTTGCCTGGCCTTTGAGGCAGAATCAGACACACTGCTGTCCCCCCTCCATCCCCCACCCTCAGGGCTCACCTCAGGGGGCAGGTCCCTGAGGGCACAGGCTCCTTACTCGCATGGTTGTGCCCGCCTGAAGCTTGGCTTCAGGGGTGGTAGCCATCCCGTTCTCTGTCGTCCTTTCATGTGCTTTGCACAGGGATACATGGCAATTTCTTATTGAATTAACACGTAACCATTGCGTGTGGACATGTGTGTCTTTGGGCACTTCGGCTTGGCGTGTGCGTGCGCTCGGCGTGCGCCCCCTCTCTGAGCTGCACCGCACCTGATTTGCCCTTTCTGAGTCACATTCTGAGAAAAGCTGCATTCTTTCCTGTAGGCGGTTTGGGCCAGGCAGCCTGGCAGAAGTGAGGTCTCAGAATGTTTCTCGGCACTTACTGCCACATCCCTAGTAATGCCAGGCTCACGGGACCCTCAGAGACCACCAGGAGATGACTCGATGCAATAGCAAGAGAGCTTTATTATGAGAGCGATCGAACTCAGGACCCAAGTCTCACTGACGCAGCAGTAGAGAAGTGGGACCCCGAGCTCTGAGTGAACAGGATTTTTAAAGGGAAAGTCTGTGAGCAGGGGGTTTCCATGATAGCAAGCAGGGGGGGCATATGCCTTGACATTACAGGATTAGGTAAAAGTTAGAAGGCGAGGTGACCTTTTCTGAATCACAATTACCCACGGCATATGCCTCTCTGAGGCGCAATGGCCTAAGACATACGATCACAATGGCTAAGGCATATAATCACAATGGCTATTTTTCTAAGCCATATCTGAAACATTGGGGAGAATTTTCCCACCTGATTCCCAACCGATTCTCATTGATTGTTGCCAGGGAGATGGTCTCTATTTTCTATGAAGCATTTATTCTGTTATATTTCCTGGAGGCTGTTGCTGGGAGAGTTAACTTTATTTTCTGCCAAGTGTACATTCTGTGATGTTTCCTGGTACCTGAAGTCAGCTCGCAGTCAAGATCTTTATTTCAAAATGGAGTTATACTCAGGCTAACTTAAACTCTTCCCCCTCACCCGTGACACCCTCACCCGGGACACTGTCCTGATTGCCATGTGGCCTTGATGTGTTGCTCTTACCTGCAGACGCCGTGACAGACCTGGCCTCGCACCCCGGGTACTATGGGACTTTGGTGGAGCAGTCGCTGGGGCGGTGCTGCCTGGTGACGGAGGAGATAGAGCGGGACCTGCACCGCTCGCTGCCCGAGCACCCCGCCTTCCAGAACGAAACAGGCATCGCCGCCTTGAGGCGGGTGCTGACAGCCTATGCGCACCGGAACCCCAGGATCGGCTACTGCCAGGTGAAGTGTGCGCTGTGTGCGCCTGCGCCTGGTCTGTCTCTAGCCGCCGAGCCAGGCGCCCTCCCAGCCTACACAGCAACTGCTGGCCAGCCGCCTGGCTGCTGGCCGCGGAAGGAGGGTGTGGGGTGGACCTCGCCAGGCTGCTGCCCCTCCCCAGCGCGGTGGGCGTGGAGAGGCCCCGTCCGCCCAGGTCGTGGGGTGAAGCGGCAGAGTGCTCATGGAGGAAAGGGTGATCTGAGGTAGTCACTTTCCCAATGGGAACAGGAGAGGAGAAAGGTCTGCAAGCCATTCCAGGTGGGAGGATGCAGCCAGCAAGGCAAAGGGAAAATCCAGGGATTCAAACAACTCAGCTGACTGCATTAGAAGCCCTGACATTTGCAAATAGAAGATTTACTTTTCCAGTGGATCAACAGACCGCAGTGTGCGTGTGCCTGTGAATGTACAGAAAATAGCTGGATTGACCCGGGCCTAAAGCCACGTCACAGCTAACTGCAGTGACTGACTCATGATCGTTCCGTTTCTGGGTGTCATTATGCTTGGGGTGACTAGCCCTGTGGGTCATTTGGGCTTGTTTTCTTTTGTAGTTCAAACCCAGGGCTTCTGCACGCTGGGCTAGTGCTTGTCCACTGATCTACACCCCCAGCCCGGCTTGTGGGTTTTAATGTTTGTGTGGCAGTGGGTGGCTCGGGTACTGACGGCCTCTGTGACCCTCCGTGCAGTCCATGAACATCCTGACCTCTGTGCTGCTGCTCTATGCCAAAGAGGAGGAAGCCTTCTGGCTGCTGGTTGCTGTGTGCGAGCGCATGCTGCCTGATTACTTTAACCGCCGGGTGATCGGTAAGCTGCCCTCCTCCTCCCCCTCTCCTGCTGCTCTCCTTCCTCCTCTCTCCTCCTCTTCCCCTCCCTTCTCCTCTTTTCCCTCCTCCCTCTCCTCTCCCTCTTCCTCCTCCTCTTTTCCCTTCTCCCTCTCTTCTCTCCTCTCCCTCCTCCTCCTCTTTTCCCTTCTCCCTCTCTTCCCCTTCCTCTCCTCTCTCTCCTCCTCTCCCTCCTTCACCTCCTCCTCTTCACCCCCTTCGCTCCCCCTTCCACCTCCTCCTCCATGTCCAGGGAGTGATGCCTGAGCCTTAGGGAAGACATTGTTCACTCTTCTGCTCTTCTCAGCCAGGTTGCACACACACCGCTTTTGAAAGTCCATGTTGTGGCAATAAAACCAGGTAATGCCATGAAACACCTATGGCATCTGGATTGAAAAACAAATGGGTTGAAATAAATAGCTCACATATAGGAGAGAGGGAAAATCCCTAGGTCAAGGAACAGATCAGAGTAAAACAGCAGTGACTTTTTATGGCTGCCGTGGCCTGGAAAGGGAGAGGCAGTCCTCTGGGTGACCAGGCCAGCTTCCGCAGGTGTTTTCATTGCCCTGGAGGAGAGGAAGTGGCGCTGTCTGGGACCCTCACCGGGGAGATTGTGGGGAAGCTTTCCTCTGTCCCTGTCGAGCTTACATTGGTCCATTTGTGCTGTTGCTGGAAGGAAGTACATGGTGCCAGTTACTTGTGAGACAGGCTGGCGTAGCTCGGTTTTGAAGGCTGAAGCTAGAGCACCTGCACAGTTCCGGCGTGGGCTCCACGTTGGGAATGCGTGCTGGAGCATGTGGTCACATCTCCCAATACGAAGCAGAGCGAGTTTGGTGAGAACACACCAGCTCCTTTTACTGCAGACTTAGCAGAAGAAAACCCTGTCTTGCCCCCTAACCCGAGCGCCGTTCGTTAGGCCCTACCTCCAAGAATGCCACCGGGAAACCAAGCGTTAACACAGAGCCTCCAGGGCTGGGCAAGATTAAATTCTGTCCTGACCGCCCGAGAGGCCTTGGTGAGCCTCCACAGGGTAGACTTTCTCTGCTGTGATCAAGATATGTGTGTGTGTTAGTTATTTTTATAAAATTGTATTTGTTTCTCAGTTTCTTTCTTTCCCCTGCTAGCGGTAAAATAGTTGAGACTCTGTTGTATTGTTTAATAAGCTTCACAGCACAATATGGAACAGTGATGAGACTGTTCTTGTCCCTCCATACTCTGCTGGCTTCCTGCCAACGCAAATCCCAGAAATACTCTCACTTTGTAGCTGTCCTGCTCCAGCTCCCTCTCCTCATGTCTTCTGGACCTCTGCCTGTGGCTGAGTCCCCTCCTGCCTCTTCTAACCTCTCCACCTCTTCCTCCAGCTGGCAGGAAGCCCGGCCCTATTCTCTCCCTTGCTCAGTGATTGGCAGTGAGCTACTTTATTGGCATATCAGGGGCCAGTTGGGGAGCAGTGTTTATACAATGTTAAGACAGGAGATTCTCAGAACAAGGACTGCAACCAGATATGGGGTGTGGGGGGGTACAGAAATGAGCATTTGAATCACACAGTAACCTCGTGCCTACACAGAGTGCACAGTCTCTGGCCCCACAACCGCCTAGTGGAGAAAGCATCACATCAAGGCAGGCAGTTTCTTAGGGGACTTCTTAGTAATCCAGATAAAGCATCAAACTAGGCAGCTGGGCATAGTGGTACGCACCTTGAATCTTAGCACTTAGGAGGCAGAGGCAGGAGAATTCTTGTGAGTTTGAGGCCAGCCTGATCTGTGTACTGAGTTCCAGGCTAGCCTAGCCTACATAGAGAGATCCTGTATTGAAAAACTAAATAAGAAATAACAAAATTAGGGTGGCAGGACAGGCAAGATGGCAGTGTGGGGAAATGTACCCTCTGCCAAGCGCCATGACCTGAGTGTGAGCCTGCAGAGTGGAAGGAGAAAACGGATTCCAGCCAGTTGTTCTCCTACCTCCATGCATGCCCTGCCCCCTCCACGAATGCATGCACACACACACACACACACACACACACACACACACACACACGCTTTGAGAGAAAGAATGCGCTATTTAGAACACGTCCCTCACCACCGGTCACTGCCTGCCCCGGGGCTGCCTGCAGCTGGTGTCTGTCACCTTCAGGGAAGATGGCCTGCTCTGGCAGGAACTGGTTTGTGTCTGGCTTCCTTGAACACTACCTGTGGCGGGCATTTATTTGCCTTGGTGTACATGGTAGTCTGCGCGTCTGTGTTGCTGAGCCCTGGACCCCGAGGTTCACACCGTGACTGGTTGGTCTGCTCCCTGTGTGAGTGAGCGTTCTCAGGAACAGCGGCAGCTGGGTGAATGTATGAAAGGGGGATGTCCTGGCTCGGCCAAGAGCGACTCTTACAGTGGAGACGCAGAGTCCAGTCGTTTCTCGGTATGTGGGGCTGGTGTCTCACAGTCCCCATTCCGCCCTGAAGGACTGCTGAGGAGCTGCTGGTCCTCAGATTTCATTAGAATCCTAAAGTAGCTGCTCTGTCACTGGTCAGGGAAGCAGCAGCAGCAGTGATAAGAGCAGGAACCTGTTAGCAAGAGCGAGGGCAAGCGGGCAAACGGCCATGTTTCCACCTCCCCGCCTCCAGAAGGGGCACCCACACTGCGGGCAGGCTGCCCACTGAGTGCTCTGATCAGAAAATTCCCCACGGGGGTCCCACGGGGGCCCCATGGGGGTCCCCCGGGGGTCCCTGACTGCTTTCCTTTTAACTGATTCCCCAAGTTGATGAGAATTTGGGTTGCTTTCTCCTTGAGCCCATGACCAACGGAGTTGAGTGAATATTCGTGTCATGTGTTCCGTGTTCCCCTGGGAGGTTTGTGGGTTAGGGGGTTAGGTGCACAGTTCTCAGGGAACAGGAAGCCACTGGTCTTACTGAGTGGATGTGAGGGCATCATTTACGCGTTTTCTTTCAGCAGCGTGAAAACCTGTTCGCTTTGTGTCCTTGTTAAAACTTGGGACTGTCCTTTTCGTTTTATCCACGTGTTGGGAATGACATTTATCATGTGGTTTTTACTTGCATTTCCCAGCTAACTAATCGATCTGAACAGATTTCTTTGTGTTTACTGCCATCTGAAGGTAACGTTCAGCTTATTTTGAGAGGAAACTGGCTGTTGGGCTCCTGCAGAGCTGCCGAGTTCTGTGCTTTGGGCTTGTGTCTGCCGGGCAGCTGTGCTGTAAGGGTGTTCTCCAGTCAGGCTTACGTTTGCATTTTGTTGATGGGGCTGGCCTCGGAGATCCGCCTGCCTCTTCCTGCCTGCTGGCACTGAAGGTGTGTGTCGCCACCGCTTGTCGAAGAAAGGCGTTTGTAGTGTTTTTGATGGCTAGTACTTTTTACGTCCTAAGCTAATTCTGTCACGTTCTTGTATTTTCTCCTAGAAGTTCTCAATTATGAGCATTCACCTTCAGGTCTGTGGTTCTTTCCAATGTGTTTTTCTATGTGTAAGGTGAGGTTAGAACCCCCCCCCCCCACCCACTGAATAAGCACTAATTTTTTGGAAAGATTGTCTTTGCATTGAATGACTGTGGTCAAATGTCAAGAATTAGTGAACTAAATACATGTCCTTTCCTGGGCTCAAATTGTTGCGTCATGACATGAACGCAGAGCAAGCTCAATTTCAGCCCAGAGCTAGAAGGCTTGAGCCTTCCCACCGGGGCTTCCTGCTCTGTCTGGCAGGGGCTCAGGTGGACTGGGGCTTCCTGCTCTGTCTGGCAGGGGCTCAAGTGGACCAGTCTGTTTTTGAGGAGCTCATCAAGGAGCACCTCCCTGAGCTGGCGGAGCACATGACCGACCTCTCGGCGCTGGCGTCCGTCTCCCTCTCCTGGTTCCTGACGCTGTTCCTCAGCATCATGCCGCTGGAGAGCGCGGTGAGCGTCGTCGACTGCTTCTTCTATGACGGGATCAAGGCCATCTTCCAGCTGGGGCTGGCTGTGCTGGAAGCCAATGCAGAGGAGCTGTGCAGCAGCAAAGACGACGGGCAGGCCCTGATGATCCTCAGCAGGTGGGTGTGGGGCCGTGACAGAGGTTGCAGCCAGGGCAGCCGGACGGCCGCAGAGGGAGGCCACTGTGAGTGGGCCGCTTATCCAGACCTGCCCCGCAGCACCCATCGTCCCGTGGTCTCTCCAGACTGAGTCTGTCATGAGGCATCACACTGGGATACAAAGGTCACCATCTCCTCTCGCTCTTCCTAGAGTTCAGGGAGAATAGGGCCCTAAGCGCTTTTGCCTCGGGTAGATCCACAGTGGCGCTGACCAGGACGGAGGACCAGGAAGTGCCAGCTCACTCGGGTGTGGAAGAGTCAAGTGCGGAGCCATGGTTCCCGATGGCTGCGTCTCCACCCCTCAGGGGTGGTGGTTCAGCTCTTCTGGGTGTCAAGTACATGGCCCCTGACAGTAGCAAGCTCACATTATAAAGTAACAAGGGAATCATTTGGCTGGGGACCACACGTGGGGAGGTGTATTAAAGCGGTGCGCGTTAGGAAGGCTGAGACCCCGGGGCTAGCAGTGAATGAGCTACAGGATCCCGTGAGGTTGAGGCCAGGCCTCGGGGACGAGCGGGCCGTTTGCTTTCAGAGTGCTCAGGCTGTTCGGCTGACCCCACCGTAAGGGGATTAGCAGGGCACAGCCCTTTCTGCTGGAGTGACGGTGTTGGGTGCCTTGCCCTGCCCCGTGTGTTGAGAGCGCGCAAGTGCTGGGACCTCCTGGGCCCAGTGCTCTGCCTTGAGCGTGGGTGCAGACCTTAACTGTGGGTGTGTGCTCAGGTTTCTAGACCACATTAAGAATGAAGACAGCCCGGGGCCCCCCATCGGCAGCCACCACGCCTTTTTCTCTGACGACCAGGAGCCCTACCCTGTGACCGACATTGCAGATCTGATCCGGGACTCCTACGAGGTACCGGAGCCCCCGTCCCCTGTCCCATCCGGGCCCCTTCCTGCTCGGAGGCAGAAGTGTGCCCGGATGCAGACTGGAGGGCGGGTTTCTGGCTGCGCCCCCTCCCCCCCAGCTCTGCACTCAGCAGGCCCTGTGTCTGCAGAAATTCGGGAAGCAGTCTGTGGAGCAGATCGAGCACCTGCGCTGCAAGCACAGGATCCGCGTCCTGCAGGGCCACGAGGACACCACCAAGCAGAACGTGGTGAGCACGCCTCCCGGGCTCAGGGGAGCCGGCCGTGAGTGCGGCCCTCAGCCGCAAGCCGCACAACACGGGAGGAGCTGCTCTCCTCTCCTCTCCCCTCCCCCAACTGAAAACTCACAAACTTAGCAGCCGCGAGGTCACATGGAAACAACGAGTCTCTAGGAGTCAAATGAAAGCAGCTAACTAAGCTTGGGTTCCCAGGTTATAAGAAGAGATGGTGCCCACGGTTCTGGGTGGGGGCTATACAATGCCCAGGCAGATGGCCTGCGTTTAGTGTCCTTCAGAAGCAGCTCTCAGCCTGGAGTCTCTGAGGCATCTTCGCCTCCATTAGAGCTTAACACGCTGGCTCAGAACGCCGTGTGCACCTGGAAGGGGGTGGAGTTCACCTTTCCTAACCTGAAATTTGTGACAGAAAGGAGTTGAGACAAGGGTGCTGGATGTGCCCCCCACCAGGAGGGAGGTCCCACCCATCCCACCCTCCCTCTGGTTGACCCGGGGATACAGGGGTACAGGCCGGGGAGTCACTCATCACTTCAATTCTTTCCCTAAGCTCCGTGTCGTTATCCCGGAAGTCTCCATCCTTCCTGAAGACCTGGAGGAGCTCTATGACTTGTTCAAGGTAGGGAATCTAGGAGGGGGATCGTGTCCTGGGCCTTGAGCCGGCTCCTAGCACACAGGGCCCAGCCTGCCTCTGGGCCTGGGCCTTCTTGTAAGGGCTGAGAGCTGCCCCAGGGGCCTGCCATGCATTTTCTCTGGCAGCAGAGGCTAGAGATGGCTCATCTAAAACCTTAACAGTCAAGAGACCAGCGCCTCCTGTAGGTTTGTCACTCTTCCCTGGAGCAGAGGCGCTGGCGTGACCCCAGGACAGCCTCACGGGACGCATCAGTGGAGCAGCACTGCGGCTGTGCCGCGATCAGATTCTCGCCACTCCGCCATGGGTTCCGAGTCCGCAGCGGAGGCAGGGACTGTTCTGAAATGATCGCATCTCCCCCTGCTTCTGCCCCATGTACTGTGTGCTCCGTCTGTAGCTGCTTCATGTGTTTTCCTTGGTGCTATCAGCGCTTCCTCACGCTGTACAACTGTCACTATTATCATTGTCGGGGTGTAATGCCTTCTAGTTGGCTTTTAGGGCACGCACTTAACTTACAACAGTTTGTTTTTGAAGCAGCGTCTCCTGCGTTGCCCAGGGTAGCTTCTATGTCTCAGGTTAGCTGGGCACAGTCAGTTCCCTGTGATTTACTCTCTCACCCTGACTCTATCAACAGATAGTGCCTCTTGTGTGTATGCTGACCGGAGCCCACTTTTATTAACTACCAATATTAGAGCAAACTGGAGAGCCCAGTTTTATTTTTTACTGGAAATAGCGAACTAGAGTTTCAATGCTTGCGTTGTTGTTTTTTGAACAGGGTCTCACAGTATCCCGGGCTGGCCTAGAACTCACTGCCTCCCAAGTACTGACCTTGGCTTTTGAATAGTGTGCCACCTTAATGACCAAATTGTGTGGGCGTATTTTTTTTTTCATAGTGAGTTTTTTTGTTTTTGTTTTTAGAGACAGGGTTTTTCTGCGTAGCCTTGGCTGTCCTGGACTCACCTTGTAGGGCAGACAAACTCACAAAGATCTGCCTGCCTCTGCCTCCTAGAGTGGTGGGATTAAAGGCATGTGTAATCCATGCCTGGCTCATGTGGGGCATACTATCTTCTGGTTTCGGTTTAAGTGTATCCCTTGGCCTTTGAATCAGAACTACACAAATCTCCTCACCCTGTTTTATAATATTCAATAGGTTCAACTGAAAATGTTGTCCTCACTTTATTTCCTCCTTCCTTAGGCTTAGCATCCGCAGGCATGGTCTCTGACCAACTACTTTAAATATTCTTTCCATTAAAGACTGGACATGGTGGTGCAGGCCTACAACCCAAGCTCATGAGAGTCTGAGGCAGCAGGCTCAGTAGTTTGAAAATAGGCAGGGGCTACGCAGTGGAAAAGCCAAACCACAGCAAGGTGGAGGATTGCAGATGACTCTGCAGGAAAACCTGCTTCCGCCAAGCTCAATGACCTGAGTTCAGTCCTCAGATACTGTGGTAGAAGCAGAGAACCTGCACCCACAAACTGCTCTGTGACTCAGTGTGCACACAAACACACATCAATAAATAAATCCGGGGTGGGGGTTCCCTGGGAGGGAGTAGTAGAATGTTTCTGTTTCTATGACAAAATACCCTGACCAAAAACAAAAACAGAACAAAAAAGCAATGCAGGAGAGGAACGGGTTTGTTCCGATCATCATTCCAGGTTACAGTCCGTTATGTTGGGGAGGTCAGGGCAGGGACACGGCTAGCTGGCCACATCATATCCGCAATCAAGGGCAAAGACAGTAAATGCATCCTTGATGCTTGCAGCTAGCTGCCTCTTCAGTCATTCAGGGCCCTCTGTCTAGGGAGTGTTACCCACAGTGGGGTGGATCTACCGACAGCAATTAATAAGCAAGATGCCCCTCCCCCCTGCTTGCCCATGAGCCAACTTGTCCGAGGTCTCTTCCCAGATGGTTCTCAGTTGTGTTGCGGTGACAGTTAAAACTAGCCAGCACACCTGGCACGGGCAGCTCGCTGTGTCCCTGATCCTTAGTACCGCATAGAAAAAAGATGGCTGGTACTTGATAACACTTAATACTGACTTTAAAGTAGTTCTTTGAATTTCTGAGCCCAGGCATGTGATGCTTGTTCTCTCTCCAGCTGAGACCATTCTTACTACATTCAGCTAAATTCATACACTCTTGCTGTGATGATGCTCCAGAGAACATTTGATTTCTTATTTTCTTTCTTTCCATAGTCTGAATAACACTTGATTTTTAAAAGTATAATTGAAAGACATAAAATACCTACTTAAAGAAAAAATCTGTAAGCAAGCAAAAATTGAAAGTGGGACTGGAAAGATGGCTCAGAGGTTAAAAGCACTAGCTGCCCTTCCAGAGGTCCTGAGTTCAATTCCCAGCAACCACATGGTGGCTCACAACGATCATGAGATCTGGTGCCCTCTTCTGGTGTACAGGTGTACATGCAGACAGAACGGTGTATATATAATACATCTTTTAAAATTTGAAAGTGGCCTGCCTTGTTGCCTCTGTGGCCCTTCCTTGCACAGGTAATTGCTGTTAATCTGTGAGTTTCCCTCTCAAGTGCATGCAATATACATTCAGATGACACACTTTTCCCCTGCATACAGAGTGTGGACTGTTGATAACAGCATTGCACTTGCCTTCTAGTGTTGGCACTAGTTTTGATCCGCTAAAGACAGAGGGTACTTTTTTTTTCGGGGGGAGCAGTTAGATTTAGCATGCATGTGATGGTTTTTATCAAAAGAGGCTGGACTCTTCTCAATGAAGGGGTGAGTTTTGATTGCTTTAGATTTTAATGAATTCCTAGGACTTGAAAAACCACTGCTTGCAAATGTAAAGTTGCTAATATACACAGTAACAATTCAGAAAAGAAAGAAGTCTCTGCTGTGAGCCTTCAGCACCCCAACCAACAGGTAGCCTGTACTACTGTCTCCTTCCAAGTTCTGTAAATGTGTGTGCTTTCTGAATTTCAAATAACCATTTTCAGTGAAAATAATAAAAAGTATCTTCATACTTAAAGCTATGTCAACAGAACTATGCATTTAAGACTAGATAAAATATAAATTTTGTATCATGTACATTTTATCTCAAAGAAAAAATTTTTGTAAAGTATATTTCTTGTAAAAATAATTTTGTAAAAAATTCACAATGAAATAAAAATTGATATTGACGTGGACAAGGTTAACAAGGAAACACTTGGCCATTAACTTAGCCATCCTGTTGAGGAATGTTTGTCTGAACTCCAGGTTTTGCTGGCTTTGGGCAAAGTGGGGACAGCTTTTCCACCTGTGTGGTCGTGCAGCATTGCCACTCAGTAAGAAGCACTTCTGAGACAAAACCACCATGAAGGAGGGCTGTGTGAGCCTCAGCTTTAACTGCGCGACCTCCCAAGACACCGATGGTCCTGTGTGACAAGCTTTTTTCCTCCCTCATTTAAGAGAGCACACATGATGAGCTGTTACTGGGAGCACCCTAGGCCCATGACCCTCCGCCATGATCCCAGCAGGCCCTATGCTGAGCAGTACCGCATTGACGCCCAGCAGTTTGCACACCTGTTCCAGCTGGTATCACCGTGGACCTGTGGGGCCCACACGGAGATACTCGCTGAGAGGACCTTCAGGCTCCTGGATGACAACATGGACCAGCTCCTGGAGTTCAAAGCCTTCGTAAGCTGTCTAGGTAGGACTCCTCAGGTTTTTGCTGTAGTGAGCCGAGTTGGCATTTATCTGTGAATTGAAGATGAGGGGCAGGCAGGTCTACACAACCAATTTGTTTATAATTCACCTGCTTACCATCATTCTGTGGTTTTCAAACTTTGCAGGCTCCTGCTAGGGTCCCCCTTACGTGTCCTTCAGGGATGGGAGGGATTTGGCTCTCCAAGTTCAAAGCCACTGACCTGTTCCCCTTGATAGCCAAGGCGTGGCCATGGTTTGCCGTGTTGCCTAATACCAAAATCTTTCTAAAGCACATAGTCATGAGGTTCTAGTGTGGGGTGAGGGTGCTGGGAGCAACAAGTGTTCAGCTTGGCCGTACTGAGCCTGAGCCACAGCAAACGAATTCATTTGAACCCAGTTTCTGCCTCTGCAATCTTGCAGACATTATGTACAACGGAGAACTGAACGAGAAGATTAAGCTGCTGTACAGGCTTCATATCCCTCCAGGTAAGCCAGCCTGCGCTCTGCTTCACCCCGAGGTCAGCTTTGTAATGACACTGCGCTGCTTCTTTAGGAATTTCATTTCCCCTTTCTCCACGTGGATACCAGTTTTCCCTGGTTAAGAAGGCTCTACTTTTTCCCAGGCCATTTTTGGACTCATTGGCTCAAGACTGCTTGGATGTAGCTGTGCTGGTTTATTTTTTTGTTCTATTCCATTGGCCTTTGTGTGTGTTTATGTTAGTGTGATGCGGTTTGGTTTTTTGTGGGGAGGGGAGATTGGTCTTTTGAGAAAGGTTTCCTGTGTAGCCCTGGCCATCCTGGAACTTACTCTGTAGACAAAGCTCACCTTGAACTCAGATACTCACCTGCCTCTGCTTCCTGGACCGTTAGGACCAGACTGCAAGCAGATGCACTGGTGGGGTCCTGGTGTAGAGGACCTCGTCTGTCCTGTGACCAGACATCCCGACAGAAGCCCATCACTGCGGGTGATAGGAACTTGATTCTGTCACATCACACCCACAGTGAAGAATGCAGAGCAGTGAATTCGGTGCGTACCTGTGCCAGGTTACCTTTCCCATGCAGTGAGGACCTCAGGTCCAGGGAGCTGCTGCTCAGGGGTCTCTGCTGATCCAAGAAATCCCTCCCAGGCTCCAGTTTAGCAGTCCTCCAGCCAGCTTAGTCCCGACAGTCCTCATGGAGATCCTGTCCAGGTGATTCTAGACTGTGCAGACTGAGCTAAAACCATGCTGGTGTGGACCTGCACTGGACAGCGTCCCCTGTCCCGTGACGACACACACCGAGGCTTCGTCACAGCGTTGCAGTCGGCCAGCTCGATAGGCTCGCCCTCCCGCTGCAGGGGCCAGTGGCAGGGTCTGCTGCGGAGGACTGAGCTTGCCCTGCGGTCAGCCTCTTGCTCACTCTGGGTGAGGCCCTGAGGAGTGGCACGGCTTGTGCTGGGCTTGGCTCTTCGGATGGTGCTCACTCCACCATCACCCCTTTCAGAGCTATTTTGTCACCTTTGTTAAGTTTTCCTGCTCATGGGGTCTGAGGTGAGTCAATCTACCATGTATAGTCTTCACTGCACTTTGTTTTTATAGTACTTGAAGTTGGTTTTCTCAATCTTCATGCCCTTTTATAACTTGTTTTCATTCCTACTTCACCACTGTAATTTCACTAGTTATAAATACTGCCTTGATAGCAATGTCTCCACCCATTAAGTCTAGAACCCTGGAACACACAGAGATGTAAACCTAAGGTCTTGTTCCCTATGTGACTGCACTCAGGTCAGTTCTCAACTGCCACTGCAGTTACACAGCCTGCTTCTCACATTTTACTATAAAACAGTTCCATCCCAACTGCTCCAAACACCAGTTAGGCTTATAATTTTCCTTACTCGATTTGAGTGGTCTCACAGGTGTCACTCTGCCTAAAATTTTAGACCAACAGTTACCATACAGAACCGAGTCCAAGCTCCCAGATAGTTGTAGTTTGGGACCATCTTCTGCAAGTTCCTTAAATCAAGTTTTAATTTTATCTGATTTATTCTGTGAATGGCTCTGTTCCGCTCCAGTCATGTAAGGGTGGACCATGGTCAGCCTTGTTGACGAGGTCCAGTGGCTTTGTGGCTGGGCAGTTTCACCGTACCCTGCATCACCCTTCGCCTGCACTATCCCACACTTCTGCAACCTACTCCAGGTGTCAAGTGGACATCTGTGCCACTGCTTTCTGGCTTCTAAGATGTGTTCAGCTAGTCCACGTTGTAGCTAGCATCAGTGAACAGACCTTCTGGGCAAATGATTGTTCCCCGTGTGCCTGGGACGGTTTGGTTATTCTTCAATGTTTAGATTTGGTGGCTATGACCACCGCTGCTGCTAATCAGGTATGTGTGAAAACAGTTTCAGCTGATTCTGAGGTGGGATTTCTGGGTTTGACTCAGAAGGCAGAGACCTGCCTTCCTCTGCTGGAATTAAAGGCATGAACCACCACTTAACCAAGTTTTTGAGGACTCCAAATTGTCTTCCAAACCAGCTGAAGAATTTTTCTACCAGCAATGTGTGGTACTGTTTTATCTAGTACACTTAAAAACAACTCAGCTGCTTGGGATGCAAGTGCTCCTTAAAAACTATGTAGGAGCCAGGCAGGCAGATTTCCAGGCCAGCCAGGGCTATGTAGACCCTTCCTCAAGCCCCTCCCCCAACAGAACGACCCTCAAGGGACACTATCTAAACCAATCATGTGCTCACTTGAAGCAAAGCTTTCCAGTATTAGGTTTGCTGTTTTTCCAGGCCTGCAGGAATGCAGTAACTACTTCTGTCTATATACCCAGAAAGGATTTTGCTTACCCTCATTTGGCTTTTTTGGCTCTGTAACTGTCAACTCTGTAAGTTGGGAACTAATTGATGGCTTACACTTTAATTCTTGATCTTTCTTTTAGCCAAGCTGAGATTTGTTTAAATTCTTTTTAGCCCTCACTGAAAATGACAGAGACAGCCAGTCACCACTGAAGAATCCTCTGTTGTCAACCTCAAGACCCCTGGTGCTGGGCAAGCCCAATGGTAAGTATCTCTTCACTCCCTGCTCTGAGGAGCCTGTCCCCTCTCCCAATTGTTACCATTCAGGCTGTGGCTAGTACTGCCTGACTGCCCCTGTCCACTTGGTTCCTTCTCTTTGATCTTACTCTAGGGTTCTTGTTTTAATAAACAGACCCAAGAACAGGGACAAAAAACATAATTTCAGCCATAAAAACGTAGTTTCTTGCATTTTGCTCTTATATGAAACTCCAGTAGAACCTGTTCCTTTACTGTTCAAGTTTTATTGTTCATAAATTTAAAGCTGTTGTTTCCCTTTGTCAAGGTGACACAACTGATTATCAGAATCAATTGAAACAGATGATTAAGGATTTAGCCAAAGAAAAGGATAAAACGGAGAAAGAGTTGCCCAAAATGAGCCAGGTAAGTTTTCTTTGGGAAGAGAAACACCGTGGCAGCTTGGGCCCATGTGTGTTGTGATGCAGTGGCCTCTTCAGAACAGGGGGCTGCAAAGCAACAGCGAACACTGCAGCCTCCTCCCTACTCTCCCTCCCAGAAAGGCTTCTTCAGGGCCACCATGCGCATCATGAAGGCAGGCCTCGCTGGAGAACCGTCGTTCTGCCAATACATGAGAAATGTAGGCTCAAAGTTAGGAGTGCTCCTGCTTCCTAAGACTTCATATTTAAAAGCATGTGTCGGGGCTGGAGAAGGGGCTCAGTGGCTAAGAGCAGTGTGCCCTTCCAAAGGTCCGAAGCTCAAGTCCCAGCACCCACACGGTGGCTCACACGCAGAGTGCTATAAATAAATCTTATTGGTCCTGCCAGCAATTTACATGTATGCTACTTAAGTTGCCCAGAGCTGTCTGGGCTAGTTCTTTAAAAAAATGTAAAGTTCCGTTGTGTCGAAACCACTCAATGTCCTGGTCATTTTTTGTAGCTTAAACACCACCCCCCTGCCTGTCTCCTAAGCGCTGGGCCTGAAGGCACAGGCAGTTTTTATCCCTAAAAAGGAAGGCCAAGCACAGCTTTGGATTTTTGAGGCCTGTGCAGGCTGACTTGCTGGCTCAAGGAAAGAACCCAGTCTGTGAGCTGACTTTTCCTACTAATTCCTAGCAGCACAACCTCAGGTTAGCATGGAAACCCCCTGAGAAAATGCTCTTTGGATACAAGGACCAATGCTCTGCAAGTGGAACTAGGCAGTAGTGATATTATAACCTGGTGCGAGGCGGCAAGATCATGGGTTTAAATGGTTTGTTTCTGATAGTGTGAACGTATACTTCCATCCTCCAGCTAATATCACATATGGACTTTTTAATTCTAGAGGGAGTTTATCCAGTTCTGTAAGACTCTGTATAGCATGTTCCACGAAGCCCCAGAGGAGAACGAGCTCTATCAGGCCATCGCCACGGTAACCACGCTGCTGCTGCAGATCGGAGAGGTGGGCCAGCGAGGGAGCTCAGGAAGCTGCTCCCAGGAGTGTGGGGAGGAGCTGCAGGCCTTGGCTCCTGAGCAGGACTCAGTCTTTGCTGAGGCTGAGAAGACGCCACAGGCCTTTCCCGAGGCAGAAGGGGACTGGACTGTGTCCCTTGAACATATCTTAGCATCACTTCTCACTGAGCAGTCACTGGTAAACTTTTTTGAAAAGCCACTCAACATTAAATCCAAACTTGAAAATGCCAAGCTCAATCAGTACAGTCTCAAAGTTCTGGAGATGAGCCACTCGCCACACCCTGAACTGAAGCTGAATAACCTGTAGCCAGCCACCTGCTGGGGAACACACTGGAGCTGACCACACCAAAGCACGGGCTGTCAGTCACTGCCCAGACTTCAGTCTAAAAACCAGGGAACTCTATAAGCTGGGTCTGTGAATAGCTGGCCTCACACCCACGGCTCGGGGAGCTGCTGCAAGCCTCACACATCTCTATTTATTCAAGGACAGGCCAGTGGGGGAATGTCGTTTACACTGTGACTCTCAACTTTGCTGAAAGCAGCATCTCTGCTGCGACGCTGGTTATGAGTTCGCCCTTCAGTTGACAAACCGAAGGCACAGTACACAAAGACTGATCAACCCTGGGCTCATCTTCCACTGTCAAGAAACAAAGCTCACCTCCAAGATCCCACAATCATTGCCTGCACAACTTGTATTTGGCTTTTTTTGCACTAATTTTGTTTCAATGCTGGTAATTGAAACCATTTAATATATTTGGTTGTACTCACTTTATATGCCCTTCCAAAAAATGTGTACAAACTATGCTTTCAATGTTGGTCCAAGGTTTTTAATAAAAACTTTTCTTTTTGTACTTTTTCTTTAAACCTTATGTTACACTATCTTAAGGGCATAGCACATTCCAGGGACAGAATGGAGTGGCTGGCAAAGATGGCTAGAAAGGCAAGGCTGGCAACTCTATAGTTGATTTCTGGGACCCATAAAAGAAATTCAGTGTCACTTAACAGCTATCACCTCAGGCTTGCAAATACACCTGAGCCTGAAAATGAGACTCAACACTCTTCTTGGCTCTAAAAGCTGGGTGTGGTGGTGTGAGCCTTTAATGCCAGCACTGGGGAGGGAGAGGCAAGTGGCTCTCAGAGTTCAGGGGCAAAACAGTCTACAGAACAAGTTCCAGGACCACACAGAGAAACCTTGTCTCAAAACCAAAAAATCCCCAAAGCCTAACACTGATTTCTGAGAATGTGTTACATACTTCCAATTCCCCAAGTACCCAGAGCAGCAGCTCTCAATTAACTCCCACCAAATCCCCTTAGCCCCCATTCTATACACCAAAAATTCCACCTGTGGGGCAGAAGAAAAAAGGGGAAACCAAAACCTGGAGGCAGTTGTGCAACTTTATTTGACATTCAATTTAGTTCTCGTCCACATTGACCGTCTGTAGATCTGGAAGAAGAAGTGAGCGCCAGTCAGCATCCACGTAGCCCTCACCTCAACCTAGTCTCAGGGCACTTGGACATGAACTCCACCGCCATCACAGGGAGGTCCTGACTATTGCCCCCATCAAGACAGCTTTAGTGAAGGCCTGCTATTTCACCTGCCACTCATCCCTTCCCTGAGAACAGTAAAAGCACACTAACATTTGATAAAATTTGGGCTGAAAGGTGGTAATAATTTTCTGCTATAATTTCAGCCCCAACAGCATGACACTTACTTTTGAATGTGGTCACCGGCACGTAAGTTACCAATGTGTAGAGCTTGTTTGGTGAATCCTCATCTTCATTACGTTTTCTGGACAAGCGTACTCGGATGCGATAAGGAACATTCCTAATAAAATATGTGTTGCTAAGGTCACTGCCTCCTGTCAGAAAGCAGCCATCGAGTCCTGTTCCTACTGCTCCGATAAGCAAGCCTTTCTATGACCCTGAAAACCTACCCAGATGAGGGCCAAGCTGCCATCTCAAGAGGCCTGCCTATTAACGTGTTGAGGCGGCCACCAGAGGACCCACCACCCTAAGAAAGGCCCACACTGCCCACCCAAGCGCCGCTGCAGGCTCATCTGCTTGACTATCTCAGCGCGTGCTGGGCGCTCTCAGGCCCCAGGCCGACAAGACTCCCCTACTGCAAGGCAGACACTGTAGTTGCCTGCAGGGTCACCTAACACAACCACAGCCCCACACTAGCGCAGCGTGGTCACAATATTAGTGCCCGCTGCAGAACCACCCATTCTTCTTACTCACTGCACTGTGAAAGGTGACCCCTGACCCCAGAGCTCCTTACGTTTTGGGGGGGGTGAACCTCTAAGAACCCACCCATGCATTACAGGGCAGCACACAAACCCCCATTCCTGGCAGATGAAGACTCCTCCTCAGGACTGGCCAGCACCCCAGGCTCCTCCACTTTCTCCTGCCTTAGAGCCCTTCCAGCCCCAGCCTCTTCCGGTTTCATCAAGTGCTAACACCACTGTCCCTGTATCTTTCTACTACACACCTGGCACCAAAGTCAAACAATCAAATGTGCCCCGTGGACTTGGTAGAGGGAACTGGACAGGCTGGCACCACCATAACGATTAAGTTCAATACCTTATTCCTTTGGCCCAGACAGCTTTATTGAGCCTTGTATCTATGCGCACATCTGGAGTCCCCATCTCTTTCATGGCAAACTTCCGAATTTCTTTGAGTGCCCGGGGAGCACGCTTCTTGAAGCCCCTGAGGTTCAAAACAGAAGCATATAAATAAATCAAAAATTACACGGCCCTCATAAAACCTGAAACCAGTGGGAATTCCCCACAATCATGAAATGTCCTGCAACTAGCATCAGTACTTGGGACAACACTTGAGGTAAATATTAAATATATCCTACACCCGAGCCGAAGATGCCATACTTTCCATCATACTGTTCACCAACTGTCACTCTCACAGCAATCCTGAATGCCGGTGTTTCGCTGAGGAGCAGCGATGATCCAGCAGCTGGGAATACCTGCTCTTGCAGAGGACCCGGGTTTGGCTCCTAGCACCAATGTGGTGCACAGAAACAGGCAGAGCACGAACCAAGAAGACAACATTGTGTGGAAGCGATTCTGCCATTCACCCAGATCTTACGCTTTCAAATGATTACAGAGCCTTTAACTAACAGGGAGCTTGTCTTAAAAAAAAAAAAAAAAAAAAAGAAAAAAAAATCTTTTAGGGCGTGTGGTGCACACACACCCTGGAGGCTGGGCAGGAAGTCCTCACATCCAAAACCAGGCAAAAGATCTTGTTCCCAAACAAACAAACAAACCCAACAAAAGCCTCGTTCTGTCCAGCAACTCTCCCCACCATCGTCCTGTCTGTAGTGCCCAGACAACCCACTTCACACCTATCTACAAAAACGGGGACCAGAAATAATAGCAGTTAATCCAACGGACAAACTGTTACCCAGCTCACACAAGCAAGCCACAGGCCGTATCAATTACACAAGGGCAAGGACACACCGGGAAAGAGATGGAGCGCTGACCAATTTCAGTGTTATGGCTAGGGAATGGAAACAAGACGAGCCGTCATCACTTCAAGGAGGAATGTGCAGCCAGTCAGAGCGGCTTTTAGAGGAGAGCTAGCACTGGACTGAAGTGAACCAATGGATGAAGGAGCCCAGAGACCCTCACAGGGTCTTCCAAGGTAGCAGGAAAGGCCTGGAAAACTGCGACCACAGCAGCCTGTATCCACACCTACCTCTTTCACCCAAAGACAAACCCTCCAAACGCTGGGCAATTAAAAGATCACCTTCAACTCAAAAACTACTTGTCGCCCTCTGGTAAGCTTGGGAGAGCTGGGTCCTTACTTTGCCACCTACCTGCACAGCTCAAAGCAGTGCCTGACCGCTCGTGCTCAGTATGCCCCGACCGTGGCCCACAGGCAGCACCCGCACACCGCGGAGACCCCACACAGGACAACACACAGAACGACAATACATTTCAGTCCGACAAAATCTGCCTCGGGGCTCAGCGCTCTAGTCCAGTTATAACCTACACGCACCTGAGCGTGTGTAAACACATTTACACTGAACAAAGGTCGCAAGCACCCGTCCCCGAAACTGCCGCACCACACACCGGCCCCCAGCATTTCCAGTACCACACCTGGACCCCAATAGCACGATCTGTACGGTCAGGGGACTTGAACAACCCCACCTCACGCCCAAGAAGCTCAGCGCCTCGCAACGGGCTGGTTCCCCGCAGCGTTTAAGTCGCTACAGGTTTCCCTTCACAAACTCGTGCTTCTCAGTCGCCCGCATCGCAAACACACTGTCTTCTTCGCGCCGCCAGGTTTCCTAGCGTTCACGGACACCCAAGCACAACCTTCCGTTTCCAGTGACCAAGCGGCAGTCGCTCCCTGCAGACCCCGCACGCCTTGAGAGGGAAACGCCGGGCGCTCCCCAGGGCGCCGGGTCCCGCAAGCAGCCAGGCGGCGGCCGGCGACAGCCACCAGCCCAAGGGGCCCGCGCGATGTACTCACACGCCATGGATGCGCTTGTGGATGTTGATGGTGTACTCCCGGGTCACCACCTCGTTGATGGCAGAGCGGCCCTTCTTCTTCTCGCCACCCTTCTTGGCGGGAGCCATCTACGTGCAGGAGACGGCGGAAAAGCCCGAGCTGAGTTCCCCTCCGCGAGTCCGCGCCCGGAACCCCGTGGCCCCCGCCACTGTCCTCCCACGGCCCGGACAGCGGAACACACCCCACCAAGCCTGGCCGCCCCGCGCCCGCCGAGGATGGAGCCGGATTTCAGGGGCGCGACCCCGCCGCCATACTCACTCTGCCGGGGCCAAGCTGGAAAGGACGGCCGCGAGGGATTGTGGGAAGGAGAGCCGCGTCGCAGTACGACTTCCGGGTCACGGGGCGGCCGGAGGTCAGGCTGTGACGTAAACGCGGCGCGTCGGAGGCGGAGCGAGCCCCCGTGGGGCGGGGCCGGGGCGGGGCCGGGGCGGGGCCGAGGCTGTCAGTCTTCTGGCCGTTCGCAGTGCGCTGTGCCTGCTCCCGGTGAAGGTGCTGGAGGGATTTAACCTTCGTGGTCAGGGCCAGGAGAGAAGACGCTCTTCTGCTTTTCGCGTTCACTCGTCCGTTCAGTCTACATTTACTGAATTAGGTTCTGTGCTTGGCGCTGGGTCCCAGGAACGAACGAGGCCACAACCAGAGGGCTTATTTTCCAAGTCGAAAATGCCCACGTAAATGCCAGGCACTTCCGTAGGAAAATGCACGAATCCAAACAAGTCCGAACAGCCAAGTGTGGGGGTGCCTGCTTGTGACCCCAGAACTTTGTAAGTTGGGTCAGGTGATGATCCTTGTCTACACAGTGAGTTTGGGCCAGCCTGAAGAGGGCTGGGAGTAGTGACAGAGGGCTAACCACACTTCACAACATCCGAAGACTTCTCCCTGGGGCTAGGAGGAAAGCAGTGGACCCACTCCGGTCCAGCTCCTGTGGGGTCAAGCCGTTAAAGGGTTCCACGGGAATGCTGGTTGGCACTGTAATTCTGCCCAGAGAGCTCCAGCAAATTCCAATGCAATCTTCCGAGCAGAGCCACCCAAAAATCTTTTGAAAGAGAGTGAGGTGTGGTACACAGGAGGAAGGGCAGGGGGATAGCGAGGCTCAGGCTGCTCTGGACCACATACAGGCCAACCTTGGCTACACGGTGAGACTGATCCAAGGGTGGGATAGAGGAGAGGGGGGGAGGTAGGGAGGATATGAAAATCTGAATTTGGAGAGGTAGCTCAGTGCTAGAACACTTGCCGACATATGCAGGCTCTGAATTTGATAGGCACTCCTCCATCACAAAAACGGAAAGCAGCCTGGTGATGAAGAGGGTTCCAAGAGGATGCAGCCTGGGAGATTGGTAAGGAGGAGGATGCTGTGATACACCCGTGATGGGGTCCTAAGCAAGGCAGCAAACAGGGGACCAGAAAAGAATAGTGCAAAAGGCCTCTTAAATGAAAACTAGTAGTTCGAAAGTAATTTTATCTGAGACGGCAGCTTAGGGGAAAGACATTCCTCAAGAAGAGTAACATCAGAAAGTGTCACACAGTGTGTCATCTAGTAGGCAAAATCAGTGCGATTCTGTGACTTTTGTGTGAGTCTCTTAATTAGCAGGACACATCCTCAGAGATGTGTCATCGACCATCTTTATTGTTGTGCAAACACTGTAGCGTGCACACATACATGTGCTTTAAGCCTACGGCAAACCTAGGTCATATGGTTTGTATCTTCATCCCTGTGGCCCGTCAGTGGCTGCCGTCATTGTGAATTCATGGCTCTGACCCTTTCAGCTGTGTCCCAACAAAGTGAGCCAAGAACAGGAGCGAAAGCAGCACTACTATTATTAAACACCGCTTCCCACTCTTACACTGAGCACCAGATTTTCATCTTGCTTTCTTTGTTTTGTTTTTACAGACTGGGTTTCTCTGTGTAGCCTTGGCTGTCCTGGATTCACTCAAACTCACAGAGATCCTCTTGCCTCTGCCTCCCCCAGTGCTGGGATTACAAGTATGTGCCACTGTGCCCAGCCAGACTTTAAATGCTTTTTTGAAAAAAATAAATAAGATTTATTTATTTGTTTATTCATTTATTATCAGAAGAGGGCACCAGATCTCATTATAGATGGTTGTGAGCCACCATGTGGTTGCTGGGAATCGAACTCAGGACCTTTAGAAGAACAGCTGGTACTCTTTGTTGTAACCTGCTTAAGTTCTGTAGCCCCTCTGTTGACGCCTACTTTGTTTCTTAGCATAACTATGGCTCCTCCGTTAACACCTGCTGTAGTCTTTAGCCTATCAGAAGCCATTTTGCCTCCAAGTATGTCTCTAGGGTTTCGGTTCTCAAACTTTGTATGCTTGTTACCTGGACACTCTATGAAGTCACCCAACTACAGAACCAATCAAACTAAATGTTACGTCCTACACCTGGGATACTTTGTTGCATTTTTGTCACCTAATTGTTACCTAGTTGGGTTTGTTTCCCACACCTGGTTACAGTTTTGCTACCTGGTTACTGTTTTTTTTGTTTTTTGTTTTTTTGTTTTTTGTTTTTTTTTTTTTGTATAAAGAAACCCGCCATAGTTTCAGACCAACCTCATAGTCTGGCTTCCCAGTCTGAGCCCTGACTGGTCAGTTTCTGTTTAATTTTCAGGTTCTAGAAAGAAGTTTGAACTGTTTTTGGATGGGCTTGGCTAACAAGATGAAAGAGGAGCTAGCTCCCACTTGTCAGTGTGCTGACTTGAGCAAAGAAATAATAATGGTTAATTAGAAAAGCTGAGTTTAAAGAAGGCCATGAGTTCATGACTTAGTACTAAAAGTGTAACATGACTAATTTAAGAAGTCAATAAATTATAGACATGCCCTTTAACCATTAAGCTAAAATTCAAAAAGGAAAATTTCTCCTGCCTCATTTCTACAAAAAAACAAGGCTATTTATCTGCATGATATGAACTTCATCTGACCACTAACAACATTTCTCTAGATCATTCAAATTTGATTTTTTTTTTTCCAGGATACTATTAACGGCTGACTTTGAGATCTTCAGGCTACAACATGAACAGATGTTAAAGTCATTTTTATATCACTAAAATTTAAGCAGGACATTTTGACAAGAGTGCAAAAGCCATGACTAAGAACTGTTTAACTGCAGCGTACACATTTAATCCCAGAGACAGAGGCAGGTGCATCTCTGTGAGTTCCAGACCAGACTGATCTATATAGGTAGCTCCAGGCCAGTCAGAGCTACACTGTGAGACCTTGTCTAAAAACAATGTTGTTTGTACTTGAAACATTTTAGTTGCTGGAGAAAGAAGATGCTATGATTTGAGTTGGTTTGTGGTATCTTAAACCAAATGTTCCTAGGTCACAAACAACCTTGACTGAGTCCAGACACTATATTTTCCCAGATAGTAAGGTCATGTTTTTTTCTGAAATAAATATGTGGTTGCAAAATAGCCTTTAAATGAGCTAAGTTAATGCATAAAGAGGTCAGTGATTGCAACGCCCATGATGCTCGCATTTAGTGGAATATTACACAATAACAGTTTTTTTTTTTGAGTTTACCCAAATTCTGAGCATGTGCAAAATTCAGGCAGAGCTAAATTAAATTAGGACCACAACATACTCCACTCTCTTTTAATGGCTTCCAGCTAGACAGTCTTAGGATAATGAATATACTGTGTCCGTCAACAATCTTGTTCCACTTAGGATTTAATTACCAATTAAAATAAGACCACACTTAAACTATAAATTCTTTTCCAGAAAAACCCAAGCTCTAACCCTTAGACAATGTAAGGTTAAATAGGTTATAGAGTTTCATACGGACTTCATCTTTTAAAAACAGGGTTCACTTCGAATTCTTTCAAAAAGCAAATGTTCCTCTCAGTGGATGCAAACTATTTAGGCTTTCCTCCCACCCTATTCCCGCCCTCAGGCATAGGGCAATCAAGGGTCGAGTTCTGCAGCAACCTCACGGGATCTAAAATTGATCCTAGCTAGAGAACCAAAAGGGAGCTGTCATCGTTTCACCGAAGGGGCGAGAGTATAGACTTAGCTCGATAAAACTGGAAGGAACACAGCTCCATGCGGCCGACATGTTTGGAAAAGGAGAGATCATTTTGGTTCTCAAACGCTGTGAGCTCCCGGGCAGGTAGTTTTCAGACGCTGCTTAGCAACCTGGGACCCACATCTCCTGGAGCCTTGTGTGCAACCTTCCTCAACAAAGCAACCAGCCAGTCCTAATGCCCTCCTAGTGACTGCCTAGCAACCGCTGGTGGCTCGCCTTTTGTGGTCAGACACTCTGAAACCTCTCTTGGAACTGCAGGCAGTGGGACAACTCTGTGTTTTCAGTGCACGTGAGCAACCTGGGTGCACGGAGTGAACTTTCAGGGGAAATCTCCTGTTCGCCGTCCTGAGCCGATGCCTGGTGGCCCCTCATTTGTGTGCGCTTCTTCCTGTCTCTGAGCAAGGCAGGAAGAACCCGGAGTACTCAGTCTAGACCACCAGCAGCGCTGAACTGCCCTCATGCAGCATGCCGAACCTCACGAACCAGTCGGCTGCGGCGGACTTCCCGCTCCTTGCCTTCCCTCAGTCGTGCGCATGTGCGCACATATCGTACACGGAAACACCTACCTCGCTGGCATCATTGGTCTAAGTGTTGGCAGCGAGAGTCCACAGGACCCATCCCGACTGAGCACAACTGCAAGCAATGAGTGACTGCTTCGGTGGGGAAGGGCTCCATCATTTTTATGGGTCACCTGTGTTCACAAGATTGAGACGTTCCCAGCAACTTTTTCCTGATCTTATTTTGTTAACATTTCTACGAGGAAACATTGTTTTTTCTGTCACAAGCTTTAAAACCTTAGGAAAGTGGCAAAATGCTGCTGCTCAAAACAAAAACAAACAAACAAACAACTCTCCATCATTTCAGTACTGGTTATTTTTGTCTACATGGCTGCTCTGGCAAGAGATCACATCCAAAGACCTTTTAGGTCTGTGTGATCCAGCTGGAATACAAACATACTTTAATCCAGGAGACAGAGGCAAGCAGATCTGAGTTCAAGGCCAGCCTGGTATTCGGGTTTCAGGTAAAGAAAAGCTTAGGTCCAGGCATGGTGGTACACACCTTTAATCCCAAACAATGAAGGTAAAGTCAGTTTGTAGAAGGAAGCACCCATGTTTGAAAGTGATGTTTAATTGAGTAGCAGAAAAGCTGATGAATCAGAGAAAGATTTGACAGACTAGGATAGCCCCAACTCTCACGAGAGGGGGGGAGGGTGGGTAGGCAGTCTTACTGGGAGAGCTTTATGGAAAGGGGTTGAGAGAACAAGCTAGACACAGGTGCAGAGAGAATGAGAATGAGAAGGAGCCAGAAGATTAGAGCAGATTGCTAAATTAGTTTGAAGCTAAGCAGAGCAATTTAGGGGTGGAGAAGCCAGATTGAGTGAGTCAGCTGGGAGAGGAGTTTGAGCCAGAACAGCTGAGTTGAACTAGCTAGCAGGAGTTCCGGAAAAAAATCAAGACAGGGCAAGCTTATTCAGCAGTACTTCTCAGAGGCTGAAAACATTCTAGGCCTCAGCTAGATGGTATGGAGGCTAGAAGCTTCCAGGACTAGGCCTAATAGCAACTGAAGGAGGCAAATAGAACTTTTTCCTTATATATCCTGTAGTTTGGGTCTTGGGTGACCCCCAAAGGTCCACGCATTGAAACCCTGGACCTCAGCTACTGGGTGTAGCACAACCCTCAGCAGGGCTGGGCCGCCCAGGGGAATAAAGTTTGGTTGTTGGGGTGTCGCTTGCATGGGACCCTGACCCCTTTCTTATTCTTTGCTTCGTGGCCATCTTGAAGTTAGCAGGCCTTCTGTGTGGGGAACTCTTTCCACGATGCTCTGTGCTGCCACAGGCCCGAAGCAACAGCACCGTGGGACCGTGCAGCGGAAACCCAGAGACTTCGAGCCCATCTCTGTGATGGCCGTTACCTCCCTAATCACAGTAGCAGAGAAGCTGACTAAAAACTTCACTTCTAAAGCCTTCAACAGCTTGGAAAGTTTTGAAGTTTCGCAGTTGAAAGATCCATGTGTGGATGTACGACAAGGGACAAAGGAAATTGTACAAACGTGTTAATTTATTACAAAATGTTCACTCACAGAAAAACACAAGGAAACCTTTATAACTTTTATATTCGGGAATGGAACTGGTGTCTCAGATACAAAATAATTTACACATAATCCGTACAGTTTTATTCTTTTTATAGAAATAGGTCATTATTACAGCTGTACAATTCTCTACGCTTCCTCTCATAATTACATAAAATCTTCTCTTTAGAAACATCTCAACATAACAAAACATACAAAAAAAAAAAAAAACCCAAAACAAAGCAAAGTGCGTTTTGAGATGGAAAATCCAATCTTCGGAATCATCAGGGAAGCTATGCGGGAAGATGGCAGCGCGGGGCCGGGCGCTGGGAGACTGCAGCCCGCGCGGCTGCCCGGCTCGCGGCCCTCTTCCCGCACCGTCTTAGAGGTCCCTGGGAACCCTGGGAGCGCCGGGAGATTGTGCTTTGCTCGGAGTCTCCCGGGCAGTTACTCTCGGTGACGGGAAGGGTCCAGTGTCGTGTGTGGGGAGGAAAGCGGGCTGCGGGGCTGCGGGGCTGCGGGGCTGCGGCTCCGCTAAGGACTGGCCTCGCTCTCGGCCTGGCCGGGGCTTCGTTAGCTGTGGCCTCCCAGCGAGGCCAGGAGACCTCATTATTCAAACAGAAACAAAGTGCCTAAGTTCTTTCCCCTGTGCAAATTAAAACAGGAACAACCGTTTAAAAATAACGAAAAATAATCTCTTTATTCTCTCTCCGAAGACCTGACCTAGCCCTCGCCCGTAAGGGAAGAGCATCGGGAGGGCGAAGGGAGGCCAGCGAGGGCTTGGGGCCCGGGGCCCGGGGGCCGCGCTCTCCCCGAGGCAGCGCCGGGCGCACCGCTGCCAGCAGGCCGGGAAACACGCCCACCCCACGGCGGGCCGCGCCCCTGGGCAGCACGGCTGTCGCGGACGCCCGAGGGCCTGGGGCACTCCCGGTCTGTCCCCGCTCTGCCGGCGCCGCCCTCCAGACACGTTACCGTCGGGAGCTCCGAGAGCCTGCGGGCTGTGCCTTCCCCGCGGCCACCCCGCTCTTCGTCCGTTAAAGCTGGTGGCGTCCGGACTCCAGGGCCGCGGGCACTACCGGGGCGGCGGCTGCAGGCCTGAGGAGTCCGACAGCCGGCTGACCCTGCGGGAAGGCCGTGCGGGCTGCGCGGGCTGCGCGGACGCATAGCCCAGGGTCCCCGGCTGCTGGGCGAAGGGGGACAGAAGGAGCGAGTCCGGCTGCTCACTGGGCAGAGACGTGGGAGCCTGCAGCAGGGGAGAGGACGGAAGGGGCTGCGTGACTGCCCGTCCCTCCGTGCTCCCAGTTACTTCAGCGCCCTCGCGGTGTGCAGCACAGGCTGCCACGTTCTGGGACTCCCGCCTCAGCTGACCAGGCAGAGATATATATATGTGTGTGTGTGTGTGTGTGTGTGTGTGTGTGTGTGTGTGTGTGTGTGTGTGTGTAAAAGCCAAGCTCTCTGATGACACATTAGCTCTCTGACCACAGGTGGGGAGGAGGAGGGGGTTCCTTTTGGCCCAGTGGCTTGGAGCTGAGGCTGAATCAGAGGCAACGATCTCCAGGTACCCCCTGTGTGTTTGTGGCCTGAGACTCACAAAGAGTACGGGTGGGGAAGAATATGCAGGCCAGCACGCCCCTAAAACCAGGTCCCTGGTCCTGTGGCTGCTTCAGACACTGCCATTTTCTGGAAACAACCAGCCAGCCTGACTTTGGAGGTTTCACTCTTATTTTCCACTCTTGCCTGCAAATAAATGTCCCTCTCCAATAACCCGGAGCCCCCACCTCACCTTTGAGGCTTCCCAGCATTCCTGTCCCTGCCTGCCCTTATGCTGGGCTGTGGGCTGGGCTAAAACACTATCCTTTCATTTATCCTCCTTCACTCCCTCTCAGTATTTCCTTGATGGTCAGGGATGTCCCTGAACCTTCCTCCAGGAAGGCTTCTGCACCTGGGCGTCCTCTCTCTTCACTACCAGAGCCCAGTGCAAGCTGTGCGGGGGCCCCCTCCCAGCACGTGTCCTGAGTGGCTGGAGAGCTCTTTGCATCTTTACTTCGCATCTTGACTGCAGCAGGCCTTTGCAAACCTCTGCTGCCAGGACACCTGGAGACCTCTCCTGGTCTCCTTGTTTCTCTTGCCAAATCATTCCCCCTGTCCTGGGAAGGGACAAAATCCATGAGGCCAATGTCAGAGTTGACACCCACCATCACTCTGGGTGCAGCCGGGGAGATTTGGGAAATATAGCACAGATGGTTTAACAGCTTCGGAATCAAATCACATCCCACATCTTTCAGGACATTGATTCTCTCCATCTCTCTCCCACTGTTCTCAGGGTGTATCAGCCACTGTAGACCAGGCTGGCCTCGAACTCACAGAGATCAGGCTGCCCCTGCCTCCCTGAGTGCTGGAACTACAGGAGTGCCCCACCACACTTGGCATGCCTCCAGTTTTCATGCCAAATCTGTATTTAGCAGGTTGACGGATCTCTAACTTTGTTTTAACTTTATACCTCTATGCACTAAAAAGTGACAAAAACAGTCATTAATTTTTGACTTTTTTGGTGAAAGTGTGAGCATATCAAGAAGCAAAACTGATAAAAAATATTTTTAAATAGATATTTTCAGCATACCACCATATGAAGCATAGTGTTAACCTAGCTTTAATCTTTATACTGTGCATTCAGCATTAAAATTAACCAGATATGACTTTTGGGAGGTTATTCTCTCTGCTAGGGTGAAAATGGCCTGTAAAATGGAACGCAGAACGCGGCCTGTGCTCACTGAAGGCCCGTGCCTCCCCCTGGGCCTGCGGCTCACCTACCTGCAGGTAGGGTGGCGGCTGCTGCTGCTGCTGCGCCTGCGCTGGCTGCAGCGGGGCCGGCTGGGACGCGGGGAAGCTGGGATGGAGGACGGCGTGCCCCATCAGCAGGACAGGGGTGGACGCTGTGCTGCTGGCAGGGTGCGAGTCGGCGAACATCACCTGGCTCTGTGCGTACCTGTTCAGTTTCCCGGAAAGAAAACAGATCCTCTGAGAAAGAGATACTTTGACACAGTGCTAAAACCACCAGCTATAGGGGCTGGAGAGGCGGCTCAGTGGTTAAGAACACTGGCTGCTCTTCCAGAGGACCTGGGTTTGGTTCCCAGCCTCCGCATGGCGGTTAAGAACCGCGTGCAACTCTGATTCCACGGAATCTGACCCCCTCGTTTAGCTTCTACAGCTACTGCACGCGTAAAATAAACACATCTTAAAAAAAAAAGCCTTACTAACAATGACAGCAGAAAAATGGGTGCGGTAGGCTTCATCAAGAACTTTGTCCATCAAAGGGCACTCTCCATCGGCAGAAAAGTAATTGAGGGTATGAGAGAAAAATCTCTGTCCCTCATATATCGAACAAGGGATTGATATTGATATTGATATTAAAAGATACCTACAGCTCTATCACCAACATCCCATTAATACCCAAAGAACCCAAACAAAGCGATGGGCAAAACGGCTGGAGCGCTCGTTTCCATCCAATGAAAAGACACAGAGGCCAGGAAGCACTGGGTTTGCCACTAGTCAACAGGAGGGGGCCAGTGAAAACGGAAGTGAGCGGTCACGTCACACCGTTACCATAAAGACATACATGCATATAGTGTATACATTTTGAAACATACTATAAGATATCTCTGTGTATGTACAAGTACCGGAAGGGGAAAAAAATAAACCTCATTAGCAAGGATGTGGAAAAACTGAAAGTTTTGTGTGCTGTTGGTGCGAATGTAAAATGGTACAGCCATTCTGGAAATCAGTATGGAGATTCCTCAAAAAGGTGAAACATGGGATTTCTGGGTAAGAGGGAAGTAAAAGCTGCCTCCACGTGACTTGGAAAGAGAGGAGAGTCAGACGAGATACCCTAGCCTAGTGTGGTGGCGCACACCTGTGATCCCAGCACTCAGGGAGGCAGAGGCAGGAGGATCTCTGTGAGTTTGAGGCCAGCCTGGGGCTACAAAGCAAGTCTAGGACAGACAAGGCTACACAGAGAAACCCTGTCTCAAACAAAACAAAACAAAACAAAACAAAACAAAAACAAAAACAAAAAAACCCAAATTAATCATTTAGCTTCTTCCAAAGAGAGACAGAGCTTTAGAAACACAGTGGAATGAGGAGAGAGATGAGGATACAGAGAACTAAGCCAAGTTGGAACAGCTTCAGCGGTGCGGCTCTGTGGTAGACCACGGGGAAGCAGAAGCCTCATCCAAAGGTTGCCCTGGAAGGAGACTGAAAATCCTATCCTAGGACAAGTCCACAGCTCGTACAAGCCAGATCCAGTTACAAGTGTTGGTGAGACTGTGATTGCTCCATTGGACAATTCAGTGTGTGAGGGGGGCACGACTTCCATCCTGTCGTTCTCTACGGCTCAGGGAGCAGTGCCTGGGTCCCCTCTTGACAGGGAACTTCACTGCCTAAAACTGAGGTCGTCCTGGAGGTGCCCCCGAAGGAAAAACCTTTAAGTCAGGGAGCCTGAATTTAACCTCCCGCCGTCCCAGGGCCAGAGATACCCAGAAGGCAGTTACAGAGAACAGAGAGGCTGGATGCTGACAAGCAGAAAGGCGTAAGCTCCGCACTCCATGCCAGGAGCAGGCCTTACCTACCAGGAGGAAGCCTGCGGTTGAAGAGCAGAACCCTGATGGCTCAGTCTTCAGAGCCGCCTAAAGCGGTCACCGCTGTAGAATCCAAGGACTCTGAGGCTCCAGGGAACACCCGACTTCTCCAGCTGCAACTGGTCCTTCACCTGGGCAGCTCTCAGGCTGTGCTTCATTTCCTGACTCTAAGGTACTGGGGAGACGCTTCCCCAAAAGAACCGTAGCCAGCCCAGAGAGGAACAATCCAGAAAATCCTGGGAGGGCGCAAAGCTAAGAGTGCAGAGCAGACGCCCCCGGGACATGAATGTAGAGGCATTCTAATCCAGAAATGTGGCTACCCTGGCTGGAATACAGACATCCCTTTAATCCAGAAGACAGAGGCAAGCAGACCTCTGAGTTCAAGGCCAGGCTGGTATGAAGCAAGTTTCAGGTAAAGAAAAGCTTAGGTCCAGGCATGGTGTTACACGCCTTATATCCCAGCACTCAGGCGACAGAGAAATGCAGCTCAGATCTCTGAGTTCTAGTCAGTGCTGTTCAGGCAGTTCAGTTGCATCAGGGAAATGAGAGGCAGCTCAGTCTGAGGAATTCAGAGGCAGTTTTATCAGGAGTTTTACAGAGAGGTTAAGTGAGAGAACAAGCTAGACACAGGTGAATACAGAATGAGCCAGAGAATGAGCCAGAAGATTAGAACACATTGCTAGAGTTAGTTTGAGGCCAAGCAGAGCAATTCAGTCAGAAGCAGAGAGAAGCCAGATTGAATAAGTCAGATGGGAGAGGAGTTGGAGCCAGAACAGCTGAGTTGAACTAGCCAGCCAGAGTTCAGAAAGAGCTAGAAAGGGTGAGTTTATTAAGCAGTAAGTCTCAGAGGCTATTAGACTGTTCAGAAGCTAGAAGCTTCCAGGACTAGGTCTAGGTCTAGGTTAGCAGACAGAGGCAGTAAGCCTCCAAAGCAACAGTTAAATCAGCATTTAGCCAACATTCCTAAATCCAGTAAATCTGTTTAATTGATGGATAATTAAGGACAATGACAAGCTAAGGTGATTCATGACCACTGTACTGGTTTGAATTCTGTTGCCGGGATAGAATACCTTGGCAGGGAAAAAAAAAAAGTGACTAGAAGGAGAGAGGATTTAGTCAGCGGACACTTCCAGGTTACAGAGCATCTCATTGGGTAGGTAAAGCAGCAGGAACGTGGAGCAGCTGGTCATGTCACATCCACAGACAAGAGCACAAGGAAATAAATGCATGCATGTTCATACATGTTCAGTCGCATGCTTGCTGAGCCCAGCTGGATTTTTCCACTCTCATGCAGTTCAGGACTCCCTTCCTTGAGAAGACCCATGTGGGCTGGGTCTTCTCACACCAGTTAACTTAGCCAAGACAGTCTCCCACCAATATGCCCATGATGTGGACAGTTCCTCACTGAGATAATTTTCTATCATTAGTTTAGGTTGCATCAAGTTGACACTTAAAGCCAACCATCACAACCCCCGTGCCAGCACTGCGAAAGACACTAAAGAAATACTGAGAACACAGAAGGAAGAAAGACAGTCTTAGCCACAGAAGCAAATGAAAGAATAAATTTTATGAGGGGAGCAGATGAATAAAGAAATAGTTAAGAAGGAGTCAATCCTGTTCAACAACAGATCAGCAACGTTTAACATTAAAGGAAAGAACAATGATCCAGCCAATCAGAACCAACCAACAAAACTCTGGGAATTAGGAAATATATTTCAAGAATAACCTTAAAGGGAAATGGCCTCAGCTCACCACAAACAAAGAGATACAGATGAGCTGGTTGGGTCAAAACAAAACAACAACACCAGATCCAACTCGCTGTTGCTTCCAAGAAATACACCTCTCTAGCAAAGACACACACAGACTGATTATGGAAGGACGGTAGTTAACCTAGTAGATGTATAAAATCTGAAAACAAGCTGCTGTAGCTGTTCTGACAGTAGATAGTCTTCAAACCAAAATTAGATGTGGAAAGGTTACCATATATTAACAAAGGGAACAATTTATTAAGAAACAGTAATCACAAATACATGCGCCAAATGCTGGGACTCCCAATTTCATAAGACAAACACTAACGGGCATTAAAGGTTGACTATGTGCTCATGCAGTAATAGTGGGTGACCTCAATACTTCACTTTCATCTTTAAATAGGATTTTTAAACTAAAAAAGGAAGCTCTACACTGGGAAGGCTGGAGAGGTAGCTTAGCAGTTAATACACTTGCTGCTATTCCAGAAGCACCCTGATTAGGTTCCCAGCACCCACGAGTGCCTCACAGCTGCCTGCAACTCCAGATCAGGGGATCTCATGTCCTCTTCTGGCCTCTGCAGGCACTGGGCACAGGTGGGTTAGACTCTCACAGATAAATACATACCATAGCTCTATTTCTACCTGTATCATTTGTATCTATAGCTCTCTATACTAAATCTTTAAAGCTATATCAGAGGCTGTAAGCTTTGTAAGCTTTGTAAGCTTCTTATCACAGCACTTGGGAAGGAGAGGCAGGTAGATTTCTAGGAGTTCTAGGCCAGCCATGGCCACATATATAGAATAGGACCTAGCTCAAAACAAATAAACAAGCCCATAAAGCCCAGAACACTGCATCATCGATCAAATGTGTTATCTAACATATGTTATATTTATATATTTTCTCAGCAGCTTATGGAACTTCCTTTAACTTAGAACAGATCATTAGCTATAAAGCAAGTCTTAACAAATACAAAATAATTGGAATAATTTCTTGTATTTAAAAGACCACAATGGAATAAAAGTAGAAATTAATAGAAACAAATGCTAGAAATAACAAATACCTGGAGACTAAAAAAAATACTCATGAATGATCAGTGGGTTGCTGAAGAAAGAGGAGGGAAAATATTCTAGAATCAAATGAAAATAAAAGCACAATTTACCAACCTTTGGGGTGCAGGCAAGCTCATTATAAGAGGAGAGCTTATAGCTCTGAGTAATGGCATTACAAAATCAGAGATTTCAAATAAATACCTTAATGATGTGCCAATGACTTAGAAAAACAAGAACAAGCCAAACCTCATGGCAGTAGGCAGCAAGAGGTAATGAAGATTGGAACAGAACTTTATGAAATGGAGACTGAAAAAACATAAAGCTGACTCCTTGCACTGAACAAGACTGATAAAAGAGACAGAAAGAAGACCATATTAATCAAGTCAACGATGAAAAGGAGCACAGATGTAGCCCATGGCAGCTCAGTGTCCAGGTGGGTTTCCTGGTCAGGGGAACAGGGACTGTCTCTGACATGAACTCAGTGGCTGGCTTTTTGATCATCTCCCCTTGATAAGGGAACAACCTTACCAGGCCATAGAGGAAGAGAGTGCTGA